TCCCATCGCGCATGTTATCGGTGCTACGTATGGAATCCCGCACGGCATCACTTCCTGTATCACACTTGCTCCGGCCGTCCATTTCAAAGCGGATAGATCGCCGGATGACGCGAAACAGATTGCGAAAATATTGCCGTATGTTGGAAAGCAGACGACTGGGGACTGGAAGAGGGATGCGCATTTAGTTGGTGATGCGATCGGGGAGTTGGTTGAAGACGTGGGGCTTAAATCGACGTTGACGGAGGTGAGTAAATTAGTGATATATGATATCTTCGAAGTTGCTTGCCTTGGTACTAACTAGTTGTCTAGTATAATGTAGGACCGGAGGAGGAAGAAGCTATTGCTACTCGGGCACTAGGAGGGGACAAGTCGCATCCGGATCTTCAGGCTGGTAAGTGGTAACTTGGTTTCGAGTTTTCATTCGAATATGGCTAACTAACAGGCTTGTAGTGAGGGCCATGGTACGTGGTTATTACTGAAGAATCGCAAGACAGGCTCCTTTTTGCTTCTGGAAATGATAATCGAGCTTTCTGGGTTGATGAGAGACGCTTGTCTGGGCTAACGGACAGGTTGGGTAACTAACTAATTAGTTAATGATGAATTTCTCTAGTTATCTAAAAGGGATATCTTCAGGGCGCTTTTCCAAACAAAATAAAGGAGATATGCGACCACTCGTCAGTAAATTCAACTCATCGATATAGGAGATCCTCAACCATCTCAGCAATCGCTAAGGAGCTGGTCAGCCCCGGACTTTCGATTCCAAGCAAGTTGATAAATCCCGGAAAACCCTCTTCCTTTTGAATGACAAAATCTTGAAACCCTTTCCCTTTTGATACTGACGCCAGCTTTGAAAGTTTGGGCCGGATCCCGCAATAATCCATATCAATAGCATCAACGTTGATCCCAGGCAGAAAAGCCTTTATTTCCGGAAGGGCTTGTTGTAATCGTGCTCGGCTAGGTCTAAGGTCATTTGGATCACTAACCCATTCCACATCCGGCCCAAAGCGTACACGTCCCGCCATGTCTAACGTTAAATGCGTTCCCAGTCCTCCCAGCCCTGGGTTTGGCGCTGGATATAGGAGTGTATTCGGTTTCGGGGCCGATGCTGAGTAGGAGAAATATGTCCCCTTCGCATAATAAGTTTTCCGGTGTCTTTCCTTTGGTAGTATCATATTACTTATACTGCATGCCTCGAGACCTGCGCAATTGATGACCGTTTCTGTCGTGATAGAGGCTTCTGACGCACCCCCAGAGCCGGTATATATTCGATACCCACCCTTCCCGCCATTCACAGGCTGGATATCCGTAACGGCGGTCTGGACTATACAGTCACCGCCTCTGTCTTCGAAATCACCGTGTAAATATGTCATTAGAGCATGACTGTCCACAATTCCTGTGGTTGGGGACTCCACTATGCCCCCGAGCGCCTGCACGTCCGGTTCTCTCCTCGCCGCTTCCTCAGAGCTGACGAAACGCGTGGGTACGCCTATATTCTTTGCGTGGGAGTGAAGCTTAAGGCATTCGTCCCATTGCTGCTCGTTTTGCGCAAGAATCCATTTGCCGGTACGGCGATGGGGGATGTTATGTTTCTGGCAGAGAGAGTACAGGAGTTCCCGACCCTTTAAGCACAAAGTTGTCTTTAACGTGTCTGTGCCGTAATAAAGACCAGCGTGTATGACCTATAGAGAGCAAATAGAAGCGCTTATCAGCCTTGATCTTTCCTAGCTTCGGGATGCGAGATTCCGCCGGGGGAGAAGAGGGGCAAGACCGGAACAGAGCTTCGTAACCACTTGGTCGGTGCAATCAGAGAAAAGGGAACGCACCTCTGAATTTCGACTGCTTGTTTCGGTGCCCACAGCACCATGCCTCTCAAGCAGAATGGTAGACGCGCCTTGCCTGCCCGCCAGCTGCCGTGCTACCGCGAGTCCAACAACACCTGCCCCGATCACCTAGATTACAATTAAACAAATACAATCTAGCAGATAAATTGAATCACCAATGGAATTCACTTACGGCATGAGTAAAATCTGCGTTTAACCGCCTTGATGTCGAGAACTGTCTCCCACGCCTGGGTAATCCATTCGCAAGTGTGGCAGCTGCTCTAGATCGCATGGGGGGAGTGGAGCTTGCCGCGCTTGATGATGAGAAGCCAGTCCTTCTGGTGCAAAGGCACGATATTTAAAAATCAGGCGCTCTAGGTTTACAGCTTCAGCTCACAAAAAGAATCGCATTGAGGCATTGTGCCCGAACGAGATGTTGCTGCGCTCGGCAATCGGCGGTTGGGGATTCGGCGATGCGATCCCACATCCTGGCATCAACATATTCGACAGGCGGATGTTTGATGAGCAGTGAAAGGTCCTAGGCAGGAGCTACGGTAGTAGTAAACGAGGTCGACAAGTGGTTTTTAATTTATCCTGTTGGTTCAGCCTTAATGGGCCAGACGATTCGAACTCTAGGAGTGAAAACTGCCACTGCGTGGCTCAAAAGTGAAGTACGGCTTTGGGGGAAAAGTCTTGTGCTGTTTAAATTGCTATATCAAAATCATTACATTCATTGCTATGTTCTGCTTAAGGCCTTCTTAAGCACTTCAACTCCTCTAAAACCCAAAACCCGCGCTGTTACGCTATATGCCATTTCTAGGCACCATATAACTATGCATGTCTATGACTTGCCACCAAGACCGTTGATCATCGACTCGAAGTGCTAGATGTATTTTAGTAACCGACGCAAGCACAGGCGACTTCACACTTACTGTCTGTTGTTCTTGAGCGAGATCACCCTTTGTATCCTAGTGGTAGTCGTTAGTAATGGATAAACCAAACTGATAACAAAGGGGCTCGTACACTAATGATAGTGAGTATTAGAGAATAATTGTTGAACAAAAAGCGTTCTCTGCGTTTTGCGTCGCCACTAGCTTTGCTAAGCTTCGCCAATAAAGTATCAAATTCGTTGGCTAATCGCCCCAAGCTGCTTGAGATGGGTTCATTTGCTCCTGCTTCAATGCTCATTTGGAGTATACTATGAAGGAATTGGCCAAATCTTTGAGTCAAAAAATGCGGCGCTAGGGATTGTTTGTCGCCCCCGGTTAACGATAGTGCCGAGACGCTTCCTCGAGTGGATGATGAGGACGCCCTTTTCAAGGACTCGTGATGCATATCCATGATTATCTGAAATCGAGGCCACAAGAGCATGTTGATGCCGTTTATATACGCGTCAGCCACGGGGACTTTGCGACGCTGCAACTCAAACGCAAATTGCTGATTGAGCCGGACACAAAGAAGGATGCCGAGGCAGTCCGTTGTGTTATCGATTAATTGTTTTGTTAAATTGTGACCTAGAGCGAAGACCGGCTCAAATATTGACATTATCTTTCGCGAAGCTAGATGGATCGATTTGGCTGCAAACGTTTCTGCCATGAAAGAGAATTCCGCCGAAATATTATCGATCAAAGCGAGATTGAAATTTCTAAAAGGAACTTCAATGCCGTGTTGGGATTTGTCTTCTTCTGCAAGGTATGATGTTAGCGCCATTGGGTTGTTTGATTTGAGAACATCTATCCGCCGTCCGAGCGTAAAGGGGTCATGAGACGAATGTGGGTTGCGTCCACTAGGAAAAGGGGTTGCTAGATCGCATTAGTCGAATCTCGACATATAACAGCGTTTAACGTACATCCTTTCTGAAGAACCGGTTCACCACCCAGCAGGTCATTGCGGTCCATAGAATGGACTTTTAGTTTGTCCAATGCCTGGTTATATCGTGTAAAATTCGAAAGGTAGTACCATCTCATTGTGTTCACGTAAGCTTGGGTGATTTCTTCAGCCAAACTTGGCTGGTGAAAAGATAGAAAGCCGTATAATTCCTTATATTTGGCAAGGGATTGCTGTTGAATAATTTGTGCGTTAATGTTCGGCGACCTTATGGCCCTGATCTGTGCGACCAGATAATCGCGAATCCTTTCCACAGCCTTGGGAGGAGTTAGCACAAGCAAAAGTCGTCTAAACATGGTAAAAAGGGGGCTTACTTTATCTTTCAAATCCGTTAACAACGGTTTCACATCTTCGACTGCTTTAGTATTGTTGAACGAGCTATTGATGATGCCTGTTGATCGGCTATCGACTTCCTTTAAAGCTTTTATCCAATCCGCATTTATGGGGCCTTCCGATATGACTCTAACCGTACGCGGTGATATGGCAATCCCCTCGACGGCTGGACCAAGTAGTTGCTCTACGTTCTTGCGGTTTGCAAGTTGAGAGTTCAATTTAGACGAGCGCGATTGAAGCGTTTCAATCTCCGCAGATACGGCACCAAGCTCGGTTTGGAACTTGAGGAGATACGTCTCCACAGATTTCAGGACGTCCTCGCATCCCTACATAAAATAAACCGTGAGCATGGAATCGTAGGCGTTAGCCGACAGGGTCTATGTACCGTGATCGAGTGATGGAGCTCCTGGAATCGTTCTCGTTCTTTCTCATCTGTAAAGTTGACACTGATTAACCCGCCCATCCTCCAGAGCAGTTAGGTAGCTGCAACTCACACTGCTCAGCGGATTGGTACGTCTGATCGTCGTTCGAAAATCTTGCTCGATCGTTTCTCTGCACTACAAAATCTTCTAGACTCAGTCCGCCAAAATCGATGTTATCAACGAGATCGCCTGGCCTTTCCAGGGGATTTTCATCAGCTTCAGCACTTTTCGATCCATCTAGCTCTCTTTGTTTTCCAATTATGTCTTGTAAAACCTCGAGAGGGTCCGAAGCATTTGATTCCCTTGCCGCGCTTACTCTCAGCGTTGACCCATTTGTTTGACGCAGGGTGCCCGGCAACGACGTTGAGGACGCATTGACAACCGAAGCAAGGGATAGAGACGAGGATCGTGCATTGAATGGTGGACGGGAAGGTTGATTATTTGCACGCAGCGGCGACGGGCGCGGAGTAGGAGAGGCCTGTCGATGGAAGGGCGGAGTGGCTGCAGAGGCAGTTGAATGGCCTGAAAAACGATCGAGCCACATGATTTGCGACCATTCAACTAGGAATCATAACTCCATCAAGGAGTATCGTCGGCAATATTTACTCACATAGCATATGTAAGGAGGGACATGGTGTCTTGTAGCTGATATGCATCATGAGCTTGCTAGAGCATCGGCCGCCTGTACGTAATCCCATTACGGTATTTTTCGTACGGACAAGGCATACCCGGCCAACCATAAAGACCAAGCGTGCAAGAATGTGCAAACATAGCAAACTATGCGATCTGGCCCAAAGAGGATAAGCGTCGGTTACCCCTCCAGAAGCCAAGGTTTTCAGAGGCCACAGCTGGTTAAGAATGTCACTCCACTCATTTTTTAATAAATCCAGTCCCTCATCAGAATTACACCTTTCTTCATTCATCCTTCATCGTCCATCTGTTCCCTGCGTGTCGGCCTTCCTTTTTCTCAACACCAAGTCACCGTTTCATCTTACTTTCAAATATCCATCACCATGGCCGACGATGCGCAGGTAAGCAAGTTTTTCCTTGTTCATGTGGCTTTTAAAGGGGGCACGCGCACCCCCGCACTTGGAACAAATCGGTCTTTTTTTCTCCTCAGTCGTCTCAACTTTTAGCAGCACGGCCCAGATCATGTCGGATATTTTACTGATTTTCTCGTTCTCAACAGCATGAACATACCTTCGACAGCGCCGACGCTGGCGCTTCCGCCACTTATCCGATGCAATGCTCCGCCCTGAGAAAGAACGGTTTCGTTGTCATCAAGGGCCGCCCCTGCAAGATCGTTGATATGTCCACCTCCAAGACTGGAAAGCACGGTCACGCAAAGGTCCACCTTGTTGCTCTCGATATCTTCACTGGCAAGAAGCTTGAAGATCTCTCTCCTTCCACCCACAACATGGAGGTCCCAAACGTTACTCGCAAGGAATATCAGCTTGTAAGTTCGGCACAAAAAAAAAAAAAAATTAAATAAATAGGAATTGGATGGTGGCGCGGCGCGCAAAAGGCAAAATCTAACTAATGGGTTAATTTTAGATCGATATCTCTGAAGATAACTACCTTTCCCTTATGGCTGATGATGGTTCCACCAAGGATGATGTCAAGCTTCCAGAGGGTGAAGTTGGCGAGAAGATTGAGAAACTATTCCGTGTTGAAGAGAAGGATACTAGTATGTTTAGCCTTCATGGGTAGTCGCTGCTCGCTTCTTTGTTAAATGCTAATTCCTCTCTTAGATGTTGTTGTCTTGACTGCTATGGGCGAGGAAGTCGCCATGGATGCTAAGGAAGCTCCCAAGACTGCCTAAGCTTTGACCCTCTTTTACTTGGTTGTGGAATATTGTTAGGAGAAGCTGGGGTTTTGCTGGTTCTTGCCCGCCTGGAAACAGTGCTAGACTTCCAAGACCGTTCGCCGATATTGACGGATTGTTTTACTCAAGCGGACATTTTGATGTCGGCTCCTGCATGACAAATTAATGATGAAATATAAAAAAGCCTTGTGTAAATTTTTTTCTGTACGTTTATGCCTTGTAAAATGTGAACTATCATCAGACCGGTTGGTAGGTATTTTCATTGAATGAAATTGTGTGGTGGCAATGAAACACTCTTTTTTGTCTTGGTTGGTGAAACTAGCCGAACGTCTACGAGTATAGCATTCACTACTCCATAAGTGCATTTATATATGAACTTGCTTCAGTTTCAATCATTTTCACTGTTTATTCCTCAGTCAATGGTGCTCTAAATGGAAGAGACGAAGCGTGGCGTCTGCGGGCAGGATGGGTGCCGTGAAACGCGCTACTATTTGGAAAATGGCCTATGGTTTTGCCGACAAGGTCATCAACAGGAGGTGCAGCCCCCAAAAAATCCTAGTTCCCCAATCTCAGGATCCGTTAGAAGAGCAATCATTTTTGCTGACCCTCCCAGGGCCGACAAGTGATTGCGGATGATGATGATTTTGGGACACAGGGGAGGACAATTCGACAGAAGAAAGTAACCACTGAGCGACTATCCAAGAGTGAGTGCACCTCCGCTCAGGACCTGAATCGATGATTGACTCGAATGTTACAGAATACTCTGGAAGCGAGGCGTACCAACTCTTCTTAGAAGTGTATCAACTTATTATCTGGAAGCAATGCCATACACTCATTCATCAGAAGGGATTACCGGCAGAGCTTGAGGTATGCAGATATCGGCAAAGGAGCATTAAACACTGCTAATCCTACTGATAGTTGATTGTGAAAGATCTGTGGACACTTCGTCTTCAAAAGCTTTTTGAGAGAAAGGATGACAATTATCAATCAGATGATACTGCTTCACAGCTGTTCAGTTCTCAGACTGAGCGGACTGAACTTGAAGACGAGGAGTACACATACCATAGGCGAAAGCTTAAAGATTCGCCCAAGGTGATTGATTCTCTAGCATTGTGCTATCTGGGCTCTCTATTACTCAGGGTACCTATTAGTGTGGGATACATTCAAAGGTTATTCGCCGATGTATCATTATTGGAAATATCTCAACCGAGCTAACCATTCCAGTGCAGATGGATAGCCAGGGATGAGGTCCCTTTTCTGAGATTAAGCCGCCTTGTGCCTCAAGACATGAAAGAAAGACTTCCTGCTGTTTATCACAACGTTCTTGATCCAAAGGTATGTCTTTACCGTGATCTGTAAAGCCGAAAGTTAATCATGAGAAAGAATGCTCCTACTGGTGATCAGTTCCATCGAGCGATTGCCAATTCAGCTGATCTATATTTTCGGGAGTTTGGAGTTACCTTTCCTTCCATCAATTCGCCGTTACTGCTGTTCTCCTATATTAAACAGCTTGCCCTACCTCGTATGAGCCATCCGTCTGAGAATCCTCTCGAATCGACTTCCTACTAACATCTATTCAGTAGAAATATATCCTGCGGTAAATCGCCTCAACGAAATGGCGGGTTTCAAATTTTCGTTCCCCGAAAAGTTTGGGAGATTCAATCGAACCTGTTTGCCGGAAGTTCAGCTGATGAGCCTTGTGATTATGGCTACAAAATTATTTTACCCTTTTGATGATCTGAAAAGATACCCACATTCTTTGAAGGATCCTGCTGCCCAGGTCATGGATTGGGACGCATGGACCGAAGCCCAGAAAGAATTTGATCTTCGAGGGAAATCTGGTGTGAGGATTGGCAAGGGCCATGAGATCGAAGTTAACGAGACAGATGTCTTTCAGATGACACCTGTGCAGTTAGATGATTATATGGACTGGTACAGCAAGATGTGGATTGATACGAAGAAAGGTGCGTTTTGAACGAGCCAAGCATCGTCACAACTCCTTTAGTAATAGAAGTGAATAGGTACCAATCCATTCGCCGATATGTTTCCAACAACTCGAGTGGACACCGATGAGGTTATTCCGATGCCGCCCCCGGATGGTGATGACGATAGCCCGGCAATTTCAAAGAAATTGCATACAGTCCTATCCAGTATGAAGACGAGAAGAATAATTACAGATGTTGAGATCGCTGCGCTGACGGAGCCTGTTGCTCGTCCTGGCAGTTCATATCAGCGTTACCGAAATGAGGACCAACTTCCGGAGAGTGCGAAACTGTTCTACAGCACTGCTGCTAAAATCATAGGCGTGTCCGTGGAAACGATGATATACGCCACTTACCATACGGAGCATAAGATCCAGCGCGTTGGGGGCAGAAGTATGAGTAGAAGTAGAAGCAGGAGTAAAAGCAAGTCGAGGTCGCAGAAACGGGAGGTTACTGTTGCGGATTAGTTAACTATGGGATGAAAGAAGGATAGTTTAAATATAGCGATCCGGTTAATTGACAGTGTCAACAGGCATAAGACCAACGCGTCGAACATACTTCGTAGGTTGCGGAGTATGCCTCTTGTCTGTTCTCAAGACCTGACGTTCTCTGGGGATGCCAAGGACCACCTTAAAGTAGAAATTAGGGCTTAGGGCTGGATGTGTCCTTTGTCATACCCACCCGCTAAGCGAAGAACCCTTCAAATCTTGGATCTTCGTGACGACGAAGCAGAGGACTGTAGACTACAGCAGATAACTCCGCAACCAGTAAGTTCGCTATCACCTGGATCATATTGTCAAACTCATGTTCATCGTTACTGACGTTTTTGCGCCTACTTCCAGTGCAGATGTAGGTCATCCCCAGTTACAACCCTCGCCACCCAAGCCCAAACGTCAAACATCGATATCGCGTATCCATTTACTGACGCTGAATTTTCCGCTGTGAATAGCTTCGTCAAGACTCTCACCGGCAAGACCATCACCCTAGAGGTGGAGTCGAGCGACACAATCGACAATGTGAAGACCAAGATTCAAGACAAGGAGGGAATCCCACCAGACCAGCAGCGATTGATCTTTGCCGGAAAGCAGCTCGAAGACGGCCGTACTTTGAGCGATTACAATATCCAGAAGGTACATATATCCGAGATCCCGAAGTTTGGAATATCATGGCTTGAGATATGAAATCGAAGAACGATGCGCGGGCGTGATTTAGGGGATTGAAATCATTGCCCGAATTCCTTTCCACAGTGGACATGTCTGACTGGGAACCTCATGATCGTATAGGAATCCACACTTCACCTCGTCCTCCGTCTCCGTGGTGGTATCATCGAACCTTCTCTCAAGGCTTTGGCCAGCAAATATAACTGCGACAAGATGATTTGCCGAAAGTGCTATGTATGTCTTCGAATATATTAGTGGTCCCCTTGACTGCCGCTGGAAAACGACATTTGCTAAATAACGGGACCTTATCTCTATTAGGCTCGCCTCCCCCCTCGTGCCACCAACTGTAGAAAGAAGAAGTGCGGACACACAAACCAACTCCGACCAAAGAAGAAGTTGAAGTAAACAGGTTGTTTCGGTGGTTGCTTTGGGTCCTTGTTGTGGAAACACAGCTTGCGGACTTGTTGCGATGACGCAGGGCGTTTTAGAGGGGACTTTGATCATGTTTTTATAATGTCTTTTACGTCCCTTGTAGCCTCGGAAATCAACAAGTTCAATTTCCTTCTTCATGACTACGGATATCTGAAACCCGGTACTGCTAATTGGCAGGCATATACGGAATACATGTGTTTTCATACAAATGGGGACACCTTTATAGACAGGATAGGCCATTGTTTTAGGCAACGAAGTAAGCCACGTCCCGCCAGAACTAGAAGACCATTTTATCATCCTTGTCATCGCCCTTGCCCTTATCCTTGTGTTTCTTCGCCGGACTCCCGTGGCTGTTATTGGAAAAGTTAGCATTAGAACTTCTAGAGCACTTTTCAAAACCGAAGATAATACTTACGCGAAAAAAAGTACTTTAATCGCAATTGCCAATCCAGCATGTAACACAATAACCAATATCAACAGAATCTTACTCGTCCTCGTATCCGCCGTGCTAAGCACCGGATACAAATTCCGCAGCAAGAAAAACACCGTCCATCCGAACCCGACGCCCACAAGCACCCAGTTAAGCGCTGTAAGCGGGCTCCAGCTCACCAAAGCAACAGCAATCCAAATCAGATTCGCATAGCCGTATAGAGCCCAGCATTCGATCAAGTCTGCACTAGTGCTTCCGAACCAACGCAGGGCTCCCCACAAGGCGATGGGAATAACGCCAGTGTATCCATATACGAGTCCCGCTGCTCCGGACAAAAGACGGAAATCATACTCGAAATGGCCCTTCTTTTCACGGGCGAGATATTGCGAGATGGTTCCGGTAAGGAAGAGGATGACTACAACGGTGGTTGCAATCCAGAAGGGTCCGTAAAGGTCGGCATTGCCATCTAGAACGTCGAGGAAGTTTGAGCGGGGGTACAGTGTCGCTGTGCAGCGGCGAAAGACTTCGCTAGTATCGACATCGAAATATTGGGCGTAGTATGATATTGTCCAAAAGGCGTGTTTGGAAGGGGTGCCGCCGGGCGATGTCCCTCGTCGAGAGGAGCCACCAAGAAAAGGTGTCGAGTCCGGGTGGGATTTGTTGGGATTGCGGGAATTGTCGTCAAAATCTACCAACTCATCGAAGGGGACCCTGTTAGCATGACATGATAATCGGCGCAGAGAGGTGATGTTGCTGCCTACTTGAGTTATGGAATTCTAAATCCTCTTGAAGGTCGGTATGTCCAAGGTCACCCTAGATATGTCAGTTAAGGCCTGTAAGCGTTGGACATTTAGCTCACCTCAGCATCTACATCTACGACAACGTCGTAGCCGCGGTTAGCCATGATGAGAAAGTGAAGCCTGAAGCTGGAGATTTGTAGGCGTGATGGCGTTGGTCGTCTTTGAGGTTCGGATTACGTGGAGAAGAGCTCTTAATCGCCACGCACTGGCCGTGGCCGTAACCAAGTTCACAGCAGCATAGCACTCAGCCCTAAGAATGTACACTGCAATGAGCGAAGAAGACAGGGTGCTAGATGCAAATGGAAACGATATTCGTTATTGGCTCATATTCTATAAATACAGGTTTTCTAAATTTGGCAACAGATAGGATATTTGCTTCAAGCACGAACCATATCTCGACGCTCCAAAAGTTATAAGTAATAGGTAAACATTTACCAAATCGCTGACACTATGCGGCCAGTGAAGGATCGCCATGTTCTGGAAACATCATCATTGTTCCTCGCAATCCAGTATGAGAGGACGCCGACGAATATTGCGAGCCCAACCGAGCCGAACATTCGAGAATGACTCCGTAGAAAAACGAGCACTTTCTGCCTCTTCTCATCCCGCCGGAGCTCACTCGTTTGCTTCTGAAAGAGGTCCTCTGCATCCCCAGGGCTAGCCTCCAGTGCTAGATTACGGGACGTTTTCAGGACACTGTTCGGGGATATATTTCTCCAAACACGGAAAGGTAATGATTCGGGAGGATAACTTTTATACAAATCCATAGCGCTGGATATTAGTATCTCCAAGTCGAGCGGCTGTGGTAGTTTTGAAAGGGTAAAATGTATCATCTCCGGCTCGTCGACAGGTATTTCAAGAAGCTCTTGTTTCCTGGAGAGAATGATTGAACCAAACAAATATATCGAAACCACTGGCTCATGAGATAGTATGAAATCATATAATCTCGCAATGTCGCTGTACTCTTGGATATCGTGAGCATAGAGCGTGAGAGTCGCAGCGAGGGCAAAGAAAGGCTGGGTTCCAGACAAATGCTGGTACAGCTTGAGGTCCGCGCAGTGTAGTAACGCTGGCAGCAGCTGAAGGTGCTTCACAGCTGGTGAAAGGGATGGCAGCATGTAGTCACGTATTCGAAAGAGTGATATCCGCTCGACTGCGGGAACCGAGGCTTTTGGCCCCAAGACCAGTAGTAGGACCTGTGCAATGTCATGGTATCCTTGGAAATAGCACAGCCTAGGTCGTCTTCTGAGAATGGATATGATTAAGGTGAAGAGATCTTCTTTCTTGGCTTGTAAGTGGTTATCCGTTTGACCTGGATTGTAACATATCAGCATGTTAATATGCTTTAGCGATCTATCAACTGCCTCACAATTTGGGTAGTATATAAAAGCACGATTGACATCCAGCCTAACTTGATCTTCGTCGCCATGCCTCGGAAGATCATCGAGCGCAGATGAATCTTGCGCGGGTGAAGTTTGATCACATCCAAGCAGGATTGGCCCTGAAAACGGATGGGTAAGCCTCAAGTAAATTTCCGATGACATTGAGAGGCTCCATACATGCGAGTTTGCGAAGATCATCATGTAGCAATCCTCCATCCGAAGTTGCAAGAGAGATTAAGGCATCCACATCTTTCTCGCGGCAACTCCGAAGAATATCATCCTTTTTAGTCGAATGACTAGTGACAGTTCCGTTTCCAGTTTCTGATGTGTTTAGAGTTGAATTGTTGAAAGTTTCGTCTGCTGCTCTTTCATGAACCATCATGGCTGCCACGATTCATGTGAACTCTTAAAAGCATAGGTTGGTCTATTCCACCAAGTAGAATCAAAAATGTAAAATGTGAAGTATAGTTAAGCCGGGATATATTAAGATGCTGCCCAGTTTGAAGTAGTAGTTGACCGATTAGACGTGGTCCCGTATGTCCCGAGAAGAGATGAAGTAGTCGAGTGAAGGTGCGGAAGGATATGAGCACTTCAAAGACTCCTTTCAGAGACACATAAGATATCAAACTAAATCAGAGAGTCTTTTTGCGAGAGGGTTGGAGGTTTCTTGTCTTCTTTGGCGTGTTTTTTTCAGGCTGACGGTGTTTGGTAACCCAAATACGCTGAAAGATACAAGTATTTCCACTGGCGGCAATTCCACCAATAGAAGCTCCAAAATACATGGCGCCGCGAGCCGAAAGCGTGCGTCATTGGCTGACATTGCGTGTGCATATTTCAGCGCTAGTAACAAATTTATATTACAGCCAGGTGGGACTTCTGGGCTGATATCTAAAGAACTCATCATCTTGAGACTTTTGGTCAGGGAAGAAGAGCTGTTCACCCGCTTTGAAGAGGCAATAATCTCTGTTCACAATCTCAAGCTGGAACTGTGATACCATCAGGAGCACCCAGTCAACCTAGTTGATGAACCACCTAGGTATCGCTTGTTTAGATCCGACCAAGTTCGCTTGCGCATGGGTGTCCAAGGCTGAAGAGACTGCCTGGTTCCAAATTTCTCACGGACTACACTTGCTGCATGAAACATAGCTGGCCCTGCAACCTGCTTGTTTGGATAGTATTATTATGGTTGCATCCTTTAGATGAGAACGCCGTTGGTGCACGGCATATTTGCAGGTCTGTCATCCCATTCCTATATTATCGGCAAAAAACTGATATTAGGATCGTTTAGCTTTTACTGTGCTTGACAACTGAGCGTAGCTTCTGTTGTCGATGACCTGGCTCTTTCTCATTTTTCAACATTGGGCAGGTTGTGCGAACTGGTCGCTACTTGTTTCATTTTCACAAGTGCATTGCACTAGAAAACAGACATTTACTTGCGGACTCTGATACGTTCTTGATATATAATACTTTTGAGACCCCTTTTGATATTCCCATCCTTAATAGCATTTTTCCCAAGGACGACCCATTAATCTTGGTACGCGAGCAATGTCCCTTCAAACCACCTACCTCGTGAACGGTGAATGGGCCACAAGAAGGGTTGGAATTGGCGAGATATTGGCAAGAAATCGCGAAGCAAGCATACCCGTGACCACTCGAGTCACCGTTCCAACTACAGGCCTACTTTCTAGAACGGTTGTCCAAGGCCCGGCGATCCAATGGGTGCTCCCTGCACGTATTCGACATCAAAGACAAAACGACGTCGTGTTTGTCGGAGACAATTTTATTCAAATTAAAGAGCTTGTCTCTAGCGGACACTTGGAGGATGTCATAACGAAAAGCGATTTTGATGCTAAAATTGTTGGCGCCAAGGTCATAAACACGCGCCCAGAGTTGGGATTAGAGGATCAATTAGGACTCGGAGGACAAACTATGCATGATCCTATGCTAGATGTTGTAAACCTGGCTCCTCAAATTCTTGTCCTGGTGCTGGCATCAAAGGAGATGATATTCCTCTACGCTAGGGAATTGCGCCGAGGGCTTCATGAATTTGTGCACGCCCGGCGCCCGCTACCCGCGGACGTAAGTTCTCTAGAAGAATATGGCAAGAATATTACAGTGGATCCTCGGTGAGTAGGCCTTGTTTGCCTTCATGTGTAGCGAAATACCTGACAGTATGTAGATCCAGGGCAATGGCGATTTCCGCAACCCACAAGTTCTTTGGCATATTTTCGCTGAAGCCTCCTCTAATATTGCAACGTGAAATGAAATGCGGGCCGGTTAACCCAATTCAAGAAGTGTGGTTCTTCTTAATTCTTATTTCCTAAACTAGCTAATCGTGGTGTCTATAGGAGCGGTTTTTTCGCACGGACGGTGACATTCTAAAAATGGAGTTTCTTTACCCGAAAGCTAGCGATCCTGACATAGCAATCCTGCTCTTACTTGTCTCTCGGAGTACGGGTGTGCACGCGGTACTCTACCATTGGAACACAGCACAAAATCTGCGTTCTGTGAGGCCCAAAATCGCGGGCGGAAGAAGACTACCTCCAGAATGGGGAGCTCCTCCTATTCTAGTTCCCTTGATCCAGTCGACGTCATTTTTGCTCATCACTCCTACCATAGTTCACATTTTTACAGATGTCGTGGAGCAGAACAATCCTGCTAGAAAGTACTCACTGCCGCCAAGAGCAGACCTTGAGTCGAGTGACCTTATCTGGACACAATGGACCAGGCCCATGAGGCACGGTATCCGTAATAAAGAGTTCGATGACATCTACCTCTGCCGTGAAGATGGAGAAATTTTGTATTTGGAAATAAAAGACGGCGCCGTTGCGCGGAATTCCGTGCTTGGCTTTTTGGACTGTAATCTCGATACTGGATTTGCCATTCTGGATGGCGGTTTTGAAGCAGGGGACCTATTCGTTGCAACTGGCAGCATGAGCACTGGCGGTTTGTTCATTGCAGAACCGAGAAAACCGCTGAGGTGTGTACAGCGAATCGCCAATTGGGCTCCGGCTTTGGATTCTGTAATTGTAAGAGGGTCCATGCAGCGCAATTCAACAGCTTCTCCAGTCGAGTTTCGGACGCCCAGGCCGTCTTACGATCGGATTTTTACCTGTTCTGGCGTGGGCAGCCATCGAGGTACCATTATAGAATTAAGATACGGACTGGAGGCACGAATAGGCCTGGTTATCGACCAAGAAGATGCGGCCAGCATTGTTGATCTCTGGGCCATACCAAATACGTCAACGGGGGCTACATTTTGTTTGATTTCTACTCCACTGTCATCGTCGTTGATATCTATTCCGGTCGATGCAGCGGAAGAGCTCTACGCACTGGATGAGGAGAGCTCTGGGCTGAATCTCAGTGCTCCAACACTTGCAGCCTCCAGCACCGCCAATCGATTGCTCATCCAGATTACCAATGTGTCCATTAACCTGGCTGTATTAGGAGATGAATCTCTAAGATTCTCAATGAAGCTGCAAGGCCTTTCGGAAAGAATAATTGCGGCTACCATTAACAGTCATCTATCTCTCCTTGCGACAATAGTCCGTTCTGATGACACAATTCAGGTGATTGTGCGAACATTGGATGTCAATGCTAATGGCATCCGATGTGACATATTTGCTCAACCGTTAACCCTGACTTACGAACCCATTTGTCTAACAATTGAAGAGATCAACTCCCGTTTCTTCCTTTTTATTGGCACAAGCGAGGGAAAGTTGCTTGTTGTTGGACTCGATTATGCGCAAGGCTTAGTCCCTCTTATTGAACAAAATATCACTGATATGAAAGACCAGGATTCAACCGCATGCGAGCATCTGAAGCTAGTTTCTGCGCTCAAGGGTGAGGTTCAGACTTCTACCCTGTTTTGTGGCCTTCGTGGTGGCATATTGGTTCCATTTAATATAGAACGAGAACCAAAAGATGCCTTACTTGGTATGTCATGTTATCCCCTGTTTTATCAAAAAGTAGAGGCATGTTGACGCCTTCTATAGGATTGACCCAGGGAACACCGTACAAACTCGGAGACACCCCTGTTCGTATTCGAGGTTATGAGTCGGATAGATCAATGGCTATTGTAACATGTGGCTCTGGGATTTGGCGGCTATCGTTTATTGAGGACGATGATTGCATGGAATATAAGCTAGAAAAGATATTGATCACGGATCAAAATAATGTAAGTTGGCCCGCGTTCAAAAGATACCCCTGTTAACTTTGTTATCATAGCCGTCCCGGATACAGGGCGCAGTTGATTTCTTTTCCTGCGTCGACCGACAGCGTATTTCGCCTCCAGGAGGGCTGGGAGGTTCTCTGTTATGTTTTTCTGAGAATCAGTTATTCGCTTGCACCCTGGAGAGATTGCCAAAGCCCGTTCCACGGGAAATTTACGTTCCAGGCAGCCCTAGACGGATGACCTATTCCAAATACTTGCAAAGACTGGTCGTAGCCTACAATTCCATGAGTCACCAAAAGGATGGCGAATATACTAGGTGCTATAGCCGCCCAAGACTCTGTTTTGTTGACCCAGACTCACAGCCGTCCACGCCGTCATTTGTTGATTTGAATCAAAACCGAAGTCAACCTTTACAGCCTATTCAGAGCGGGATGCCAACAGGAGCGTCCGGGGAGAAAATAACTGCTCTGTTTGACTGGAACTTCTCAAGTGGTGAACACGTCTACCATTTTATTATCGTGGGAACATCGCAGCTGCGCAGCACATATCCGGGACGATTAATATACATTTCTGCCCGTCCAAATCCCCATAATCCCGCGCAAATCACCGCGATTGTCAAGAACATACATACGTTCGAGCATCCGGTTAGAGCAATAGCTGCATACGACCCAACCGGCCTGATAATCGCAGTTGGCGACGGGGTTCGCTATCAATCCCTTAACCCTGTTACAAAAAGATGGCAAAGGTCTGCAACTTACCAACTGGAGTCCACACCGCTCTCTATATCTGTCAAAGAGCCATATGTTTATGTTTTAACAGCAAGACATTCACTTTGCATTTTAAAGATTGTGGACAGCCATTTTGAGCTTCTTGCTCAGGATGGAACTGACAGGGAAGGTTTGGACCTTGTGAATTTGCAGAGTGAAACCAAAATCGTCTTGACATCCAACAGAGGCGGTTCGATTATCGGGTTTTCCGAAATAGCACTTTTACCGGACGAAAAGCTGATAAAGCCGCTTTTTGTTGCACATGTCCCTCATTCAGTCATACGACTCACTTCAAGTCACCGGCCTTACCACCCCGGACGCCCTGAGACCATATATGGCACAGCGTTGGACGGTACAGTTTACAGATTTACAACCTTGGGAGAGAACGAGTGGCGACTGCTTCGGTTCATTCAAAACATCTGCCTTGGAGACCCGGTCATATGTCCGTATAGAAAACGGCGCAGGATGGTCTCTGAGGATTTAACTCCCCTGATCACAAAACCAGAGTCCATGCATGTTGACGGAGACATTTTGAGTCGGGTCGTAGAGCATGGAATTCGCTTCTTAGAAACGGTGATGAGGAAAAACACGACATCGTCATACACCAACAGATCTACGGCTGATAGCAGCGGAAGGATGGAAAGATTCATGGAGTTTGTTACGCCTGTCGTTGGAGATACAGAAAACCCGTTTGCAGCTGCGATATCTTGGATGGAAGACTTGCTTCGAATCGAGCTCTAGCAGCTGTTGGAACAAGGGTAAAGGGCGGTGCAAATGCTTCATAACATGGCTATTAATATTTTTGCTGGGTGGTGGTGCGCTTAGACTGGTAGAACTAGTTACTGGTTAGATTAATATCTTGCTTGAGATTGTAGAGAAATGCATTGGAGGCGATAAAGTCATGAGTGTTCTGTATCCAGCGTTCAAAGACTCAGCTGCATCTTAGTTAACAGGGAGAATCTAGGCGTGGCCTCAATATCTCCGGTGAAAAGCACTCAAGTTTGCTGCTTAATTCCGTGCTCATCGTTCTTGTGATGCACCTCTGAGTGGCTCGCTTGGGCCCCCAGTCTTTCCCACGTTGAAAAAAAAGTTTTCTAGCAAGTTAGTCAGTGGAGGCGGCGAGTTTGTTTGTGGCTTTAAAATCTTTGTTCAAACTGACGTTCATCAAGAGGGGCATCTCTTCAAACACTGAGCTTCTTCGCAGCCCAGATATATCTCGCAGTCTCTTCAATCGATTCTCATAAGCCGTGCGCCTCTAGGCAGTTCTAATCGGATCGGCCACCTTGCTGATGTCACGAAGGGCAGCCGTCACCACATTCACCAATTTCTCGCATTACCACGCCCACCACCCAAGCATATCGATACATCAACGGCTCGATCCTGGGTCTGTCTAACTATTTTACAAATTAAATAACGCAAAACCTCAGTCAACATGGCGCCAAAAAAGAAGGGCAATAAGAAACAACAGGACGATTGGGAGGCTGAACTCGGTGAATCCATCACGCCCACGAACGACCAACCCGATGCCGCTGCCCATGATAATGCCGCACCCAATGAAGACGATGAAATGGGAGGCGGCTTGTTAGCTGCCTTGCGAAAAAATCGGACCCGAAAGGCGAAGAAAGGCAAGGCTGTTGATAATGATTTCGTGGAGGGCGAAGACCCGTCGGCTGATACTGCTGCTGATCTTGCGAGCAAGCAGCCCGAGGAAGCTACATTTGATGGAGATGATGTTTTCGCGGGGATTGAAAAGCAACCAAAGGGTGGCGCGAAGAAAGAGCCCCAGCAGCAAAAGCCGCAAGGTACAGAAACAGGTGGAGCTATGAAATCGAAGAAGGAGAAGGAAAAGGAAAAGAAGGAGAGAGAAAAGCAACGAAAAAAGGAGCAGGTTTGTACTTTATCCGTTCTCAAGAATGCCGAGTCTGCGGTCTAATGCTAATCTACCTTTGACATCTAGGCTGCGAAAAAGAAATCTCAGGCGCCAGCTGAAGCTCCTGCAGCGAAGGCAGAGCCCGCCAAAGCCGCGGCACCTGAACCTAAAGCCGAACCAACACCTGCACCGGAGCCCGCTGGGAAGAAGAGAAAGGTTCCAGCACATCTTGCAGCTATTCAAAAGCAACAGGAATTGCTCCGGAAAAAGCAGGAGGAGCAAGAGCGTCTTGAAGCTGAAGCAAAGGCACGCGATGAAGAGTTCCGGCAAAAGATAGAAGAAGAGGAGCGTAAAAAGGAGCAAGCACGCCAGAGAAAGAAGGAAAAGGAACCGGGAGAAGAAAGGAACAATTACGCAGAGAAGGAAAGTTACTTACAAAAGCCCAAAAGGAAGCAAAGGAACGCAACAAGGTTCGTATGGAACAGCTCCTAGCTGCTGGTGGCAAAGTCGCTGGGTTGGAGCAGGAGGCAGACCGTGCCGAACCGAAAAAGCCGCTGTATGAAAAGAAGAGACGTGGACCCGCAAAACGGGAGGAGGTTGATTTGGAGGCGGCTGCTGCCCGAGCTGAAGCCCAGCGCAAAGCCGAAGAAGAGGAAAAGAAGAAACGAGAGGAGGAAGAGCAGGCTCGGGCCGCTGCTGAGGCGGCCGCTAAAGCAGAAGAAAGCGATGATGGCATTAAGGATAGCTGGGATGCTCCTTCGTCCGATGAGGAAGAGGAGGAAGAGGAAGCAGGCGAAACCGGAGAGTTGCCGACGAGGACACAGAAGCCTGATGAAGGTTCACCAGAAGAGTCAGAGTCAGAAGAATCGGATGAAGAGGGAACCGCGACACAACGAGCAATAGCCCAAAGGAAGGCCGAAGCAGCTGAGCGGAGAAAGAGACAACACGAAGAAGCTCTTGCAGCAAGATCTACAGATAATCTACGGTCCCCGATTTGCTGTATTCTTGGGCACGTTGATACCGGAAAGACGAAACTCTTGGACAAAATTCGACAAACCAACGTGCAAGAAGGAGAAGCTGGCGGTATCACACAACAAATCGGTGCAACCTACTTCCCCGAAGACGCTCTTAAGCAAAAGACCGCTGTCGTCAATAAGGATGGCAAGTTTGAGTTCAAGGTTCCCGGTTTATTGGTTATTGATACCCCTGGTCACGAGTCTTTCTCCAATCTGCGTTCTCGCGGTTCATCTCTTTGCAACATTGCCATTTTGGTTGTCGATATCATGCACGGCCTGGAACCACAAACACTCGAATCTATGAGGTTGCTGAGAGACAGAAAGACCCCATTCATTGTTGCGTTGAACAAAATTGATCGACTCTATGGCTGGAAAAAGATTGATAACAACGGGTTTCAAGACAGCTTAGCGCTTCAAAATAAGGGTGTCCAGAACGAATTCCGGGACCGTGTCAACCGGACGAAGCTTGCCTTTGCGGAGCAAGGATTCAACTCCGAGTTATACTGGGAAAACAAGTCCATGGCCCGCAATGTGTCTTTAGTTCCTACGTCTGCTCATACTGGAGAAGGTGTTCCTGACCTGCTTAAACTTCTAGTCACTCTCGCACAGGAACGCATGACGAACAAACTGATGTATTTATCCGAGGTCGAGTGCACTGTTCTCGAAGTCAAGGTAATTGAAGGTCTCGGTACTACTATTGACGTCGTTTTGTCGAACGGTATTCTGCGTGAAGGCGACCGAATAGTGCTTTGTGGCCTCAACGGCGCCATAACTACAAACATACGAGCGCTTTTGACTCCTGCTCCTTTGAAAGAACTGCGCATCAAATCGCAATATGTTCATAACAAAGAGGTTAAGGCTGCATTGGGTGTCAAGATTGCCGCCAACGATTTGGAACATGCTATTGCGGGATCTAGGCTAATGGTCGTGGGCCCTGATGACGATGAAGAAGACTTGGAGGACGAGGTCATGTCCGATCTGGAAAACCTGCTCAGCAAGGTCTCCAAAGATAATCGTGGAGTCAGCGTTCAAGCATCGACTCTTGGTTCTCTTGAGGCTCTGCTTGAGTTCCTCAGGGTATCGAAGATTCCAGTGGCAAATATTTCCATTGGGCCCGTCTATAAACGTGACGTGATGCGCGCCGGAACCATGTTGGAAAAGGCCAAACAATTTGCGGTTATGCTTTGTTTCGATGTCAAGGTCGACAAAGAAGCACAGGCATATGCAGACGAAGTTGGTATCAAGATCTTCACAGCAGACATCATCTATCACCTGTTTGATGATTTCACTAAGCATATGGAGGAAATCTCGGCGAGGAAGAGGGAAGAAAGTAAACTTTTGGCCGTGTTCCCCTGTGTTTTGCAGCCAGTCGCCGTGTTCAACAAGAAGGATCCTATTGTCATTGGTGTGGACGTTACCGAGGGCAATCTACGACTACTCACCCCGATTGCTGCCGTCAAGACTAACCCAGTAACCGGACTTAAAGAAGTGTTCAACTTGGGCAGAGTGTAAGCCACCATCATCTCCCTCTGTTACCATCTTCAATCTAAAACTAACGCTTCCGATTCTTCTAGACAATCCATCGAGCGTGAACACAAGCAAATCCCCATGTGCAAAAAGGGTCAACCTTCCGTTGCTATCAAGATTGAAGGGCCCAACCAACCACTCTACGGTCGACAATTGGAAGAGAAAGACACGCTTTATTCGCTCATTTCTAGACAGAGCATCGATACCTTGAAAGAGTTCTATCGATCCGAGGTTTCTATGGAGGAGTGGGCGCTGGTTAAGAAGATGAAGCCTCTTTTTGATATCCCATGATCTAATGCATGCGTGCGTGCGATTTGTCTGACTGTTATTCTTACTGGGTTGCAATGATTAGTGATTGTAATGGCTGTCCCTTTTTTTTTTTTTTTTCTCTACTCTGCTAGGGCTATTGACTTTGCAGCAAATTTAGTTTCTTTGGTCTAATTTGGCCTGGAAACCGAAAAGAATGAAAAGGGCTTATGATATTGAGGAAAATTAGTTGAAGTATCAGCTATGTTGAGGTGTTTTCTTTTCCCACGCCATTGTCTCTCGGTGGTCTTTTTGGCATTCAATGAACCAAGGAAGAAGTTTCTCTGTATATAGCTGGTAGATACCTATAGATTTATCTCGTTGCTATCGATGTGCACTGCATAATGACTTTTCAGTAGAAATTCTTCGGGATATGTATTCAGCCGCACGGGAAGAATCGAGAAGGACAGAACCTGCGAAGCGCGCGCTTGGTAGTTGACAAGACTTCCTCCCAAAACAGTAATAGCGGAATAGAAAACCCATCATTCTCATATCTTATCCAAAGTGAGGATCCCGAACAACCCCCTCAATCCTCACTCCCTCCCTCCCATCTCTCCACCTTCCCCTTCCTCTTCGCCCAATCCAACCACGACCCATCATACACGCCCACCTTGGCCCCATCATATCCCGCCTGCACCGCCAACTCCGCCGCCGCGCGTGCACGCACCCCGGCATGGCAATAAAACACCAACTCGGCGTCCACCGTCTGCTGCTGCTGCCGCACCACGGTATAATCTCCATCCGGAACCTCTTTATGCGACACCACGCCCGGCTTGGAGAATCCGTAGCGGGTGAGGAATTCGTCGGGGGAGAGGAAGAGCGCGTCGGGCTGGGAGCGGAGCGGGAGGCAGATTGCGGTGGGGATGGTGCCGGTGGAGAGGAGCTCGGGGGGTTCGCGGACGTCGATGAGGATGGTGGGGGTGGAGGAGGGGTGGGCGAGGCGGGTGTTTATCTGGTTTGGTGCGGTTGTGTTAGCTACGTTTAAGGTGTCTTGTTTTTTTGTCGGGTGGTGAGGCGGAGATGGGGGCTGTTTACGTCGTCAAAGGTCCATTGTTTGAAGGGGGGGTGGTCTGCGGTGTTGGATGAGGGGGGAGCGTTGGAGCGAGCGGTGGTGGAGGAGAGGAGGCGGGTTTGGAAGGGGTGTGCTGGTTGGAGACGTGCTGGCGAGATTGCTTGAAGGCGAGGTCGTGCTGTGGTCGTGGAAGAGATGGCACGGAGCGAGGGTGTGCGCGATCCTGTGCGCGGAGTAGATGCAATGCTCCGAGATGAGAAGAAGGGTAGTATAGCGCGTTTGGAAGCCATTGTGCTTGTTGCGCAGGTGAGGGATGAATGGAGGTCAAAGTCGAAGCTCGAGGTTTTGAAGGCCGAGGATCTGCAGGATGATGTCAGCAGCGAACGGCGCTTTTGAGGTCCGTCGCCCGACCGAATGCAACTGAGAGCCAGGGGCAGCATTTCAACACGAAAAACTGGATCTCTCTTCAATTAACAATTAAAAGCTATATTAGGTATCTCATATTGTACACCACTTCGTCCAAAAACCAACAGACACGAAAGCAAAGGAGTATCATGGGTTCTCCAGGTCTTGAGATTTGGTCTCCTGGGAGACAAAGTCAAGGGCATAGTTATTAAAACAAGAAGAAAAGCACTGGAAAGGCAATGCAGATACATATTTTGTTCACAACATCAAGAGAGAAAGGCGTAGTCATCACTAGGATTGTAGAAAAAGGGAGCTCGTAAGAGAGCATGAAAGGAAGAATATTCATGGACACAGCCTCTTTACCAGGAGGGTACCAGAGATTCATTGGGTCATTTCAGTGCTTTTTGAAAATCCTGATGATTCACGCTCGAGGACGGAAAACAAGAGGGCAGTCATCCTGTTCCTGTGGTTAGTGTTCCGAAGGATAATTATAAATGGGGTTAAAACTCACCTGCGGGAAGATTGTAGCAAAGACTTTGATGTCTTCAGAGATTGGGGTGGCATGGTGTTCCCAGTCCATCAACAGGCTGGCCTTGCCGATCATGGCCATGAGGTTCAATTGGGCATAAGTCTGTCCAAGGCAGTAATGGGGGCCAGTTCCAAAGATCAAAAAGTTCTTCGCCGCTTTTTCGGCATCTCCAGTGATCCATCGGTCGGGATCAAAAGTTTCAGGGTTCGGGTAGGCTTCGGGGTCATGGGCAGCAGGCCACACCGACGGAACAATCATGCAGCCTTTGGGAAGGGTATAGTTGGGTGTGATGGGAAAGTCCTTCTTGGTCATGTACGGAACCATGATCACTGGGGGGCGGTATCGAAGAGTCTCTCGAACCACAGCCCGGGTATACTGCATCTTGTCAAGAATGTCCATGCTGATTTTGCCGTTGCGATCGCCGTTTCTCACAGCCAAGTTCTCTTCTCTAACCTTGTCGAGGATGTCGGGGCGGTCGGCCATGAGCTGGAAGAGCCAAGTACTGGCGCTCGAGGTAGCGTCTTGGGAAGCAAACAAGAAAGTGAAAACGGTCTGCGCAATTTCAAAGTCGGTGAAGTCGCGGAGGAGGTGCTTTGGCTTCTCAGAATCATCCACCTCGATACCCTTGGCAATCTTTTCGCGGTACTCGGCGGAATCCAGCATCTGTTTGACCCAGCCATCCATGATACAGTTCGCCTCTCCGCCAGCGGCCATTCGGACCTTGCTCTTGGCGGCACATTTACTGAATTCCTCTAGAACCATGTCGGCAGCTTTTTTTCCGTACCACGACTTGGTGAAGGGAAGGATGATTGGGAAATTAACCAGTTCCAAGGCAGCGGTGATGAGATAATAGTCATCGGCGATCTTCTTGACGGCTTCGTCTGTCATATAATGGCCAACAAAAGTCCGGCAGGAAAGGGCGCACATCAGTTCCCGCAAGTACGGCATCCATGGCAGAGGCTTGAAATCGTTCTGCTTCGATTCCTCCAAGAATTGCTTGAAGTACTTGTCATAAACTTCGTCCAGCTGTGGCATGTATGTGGTCAAGGCGGACCTAGTAAAAAGACCGTTGAGACCCTTGCGATATTCGACATGCGCCTTGCCATCCAGGAATACCCAGTTATCCTTGCCCAGGAGTTTGTGTGCAGAGTCGACAACGCATGGCTTGACATAGGCGGGAGAATTAAAGACCTTTCTGGCCATATCTCGAGTGGATGCGATGACGACGAACCTAAAGTTCGACGCGTATCAGCATTAGCACGGAGGCGCACTGTCTACATCGATCCCATGGCGGGCACATACTTGTGGAAAACAGAAACGCAGCTCAAATCACCGCTCGCCCACTTGGCCTTGTACTCGGTGAATTTTGGGTTAACGGACTCCAGGAAGGGGCCCATGAAGGGGATTTTGAATCTGGGGCCGACAATTGAGCCTTTGAGCCAGATGTACTTGACTGTTTGCACGCAGGTGATTAGTTGCTCGTTATCTTAGATAAAGATGGATGGGGCCTGAGAGAGGCGCAACTCACACTGGTCGTAAGCGACTAGCAGCATGAAGAGGGCCAGCAAGGCCGACCAGCCGGTGAAGCTGTTGTAGATGCTCATCAGGAGGCTCGACGGGTCGGAGGACATGGAAGCTAGCGATGCATCCGCCGACGGCGATGCCATATTTGCGTGTGCGTTCACCATGGTGTTGGGGTGCTGGAGGCCCGTCCAGCGAAAAAGGGGGCCAGGCGGAGAGGGGGTGTTTCCGAAACTGAGCTGGGTTCTGGGGAGAGAAGAGCGAAGGACGGAGGAGCTGAGCAGCAGACACACAACCCCAGCGGTGGATGAGCGAGGAGGAGAGCGGATGGAGACGAGGAGAAGGAGAGCGAGACGGCGCTGGATTGCTTAATGAAGTGAATTAATTGCTCGTCTGCTGTCGAAAAAAGAAGCAATTTAGTCATCAGACGCGCGATCTGCTTTTATTTTTTTATTTTATTTTTTGGTTGAGATACATCATTACGGTACCACCGGACATCCGTGGATGCGTATTGGCCAGCCACACGGCCCGGTGATCTCGCGGTTTTGCGGAATTGGCCAATCACCTGCCGTGCTTACATACAGCCATGTACGGCCGGTACCGTATATCTCCAGCGCTCTCTCTGCTGCTTTGGATTTCTCATTGATAGTAATTTGAGGAGCGTCAAGAGGGATATGAAGAGTCTCACCCCTCCGGCAGCTCACACGAGCATCGAACAGCCCCTTTGCTCCCAGCAGCACTGCAGCACTGCTCCGTCCCCAAGAACCTCCCCCTGCGCCTAAATTACCGCTAGTCCTGTAATGGTGTCGTGATTCGGCAACTGCGATCCCGAGGCGGCTTCTCATTGGCTGGTCCCTGATTTCCCCTTTTTGCCTGTTTGCCTGGTTTGCAGTCGATCGCTGACAAAATCAACTGAAGAAACAGAGAAGCAGAAGAAACAGCAACAGAGCAGCGAGAAGACGATTGCAGACTGATAATTCAAGCCTCAGCATCCACTCCAGCAAACACCAGGATGGGGACATTATTCGACATGGGGTGGAAAGCTTCACTTCACAACTGGTTCATCACAATCCCTGCCCCTTGTCGACCAACCGTCTTCCTCAAGGAGGTTAGTGGAAAATGATCGCTCAGTTTCTGGAATCAACTCTCCGTGCTCTCGGGCTCTCCAGCAATCACAGCCCTCATACGCCATATCAAGCTGTTGGCTGTCAGTGCCCGTCTGTGCGCGGCCGTGTGTTACATCTCCAGTTCTCCGGAGTAACTCCGGAGAGTGGTGTAAATAGTTAGCATTGCTTGATGACACCCAGGCTTACGAACTGCTTGGGCCCTTGGGGGACGGCAGATCCTGGTTCGATTCCCCAGGTTCGGGGGAATTTTCCCTTTTCTCTCAATAATGGAGTTGAGAGTGGCTCACCACCTGGGATCTCTGGAGGGTTGAAGGCAGAATAGTCCGTACATATGGTCGTCACGGACGTCATCCCGCTCGGAGTATACCTCGCTTCAGGAGCTCGACCATTGTCGAGAAGAGTCCCCAGAATTCGCTGCATAAAACTGGAGTCTCTGCTGGGTCGTTTGGCAGCTTAGTAACTTGGTCGTCGAATTTGTCATCCGTTATGCCTGGCCCCTGCGAACCGGGCGACAATCGGAGTATTCAATCGAATGTTGAAAGTTTTATAAGCCTTCCAGAAGATGAAAAGGCCTAGAGCAATACCTTTATAATCTTGCTTTTTAGACTCCTGGATCTTACGGAGTATAGAGTACATATATCAAGCGTCTAGTCGGTAAAACGAACGCAAAAGCCAACGAACCCCTCAAAATTCAAGCATCAACAAGAAACGAAGACAAGGCATTCACCACGATACATCCATACCCCACAATGCCCAACCCAGCACCCCAACCCATCCTTGCCTCTAATCCCGGCACTGGCGGCCTCCCCTCCGCAACCAGTCACATCCGCATCGCTCGCCCCTCGCGCAACCTCAGCCGCGCCCAGCACTTCTATACCGCTGGCCTAGGCCTCAAAGTCATCTGGAAGTCCGACACCAACGTCACCGGTGGGCACGCCCTCCTCATGCTCGGCTGGCCAGATGCAGCCTGGCACCTGGAACTGGTAGACGACCCTGATGGTGAATTTCCGCCAGCCCCGACGGAGGAAGACCTGCTAGTGATTTATGTGGGTGAGTCGATTGATCCCGCAGTCATTGAGAGGCTGGAGGGCGCGGGTGGGAAGAGAGCGAAGGCGAGGAATCCGTATTGGGAGGAATGGGGCGTCACGGTGGAGGATCCGGATGGGTATCGCATTGTGTTGAGTCAGAGAGGATGGAAGAATTGAGTAAAACGCCGGATAAGCAAGAGGGAATGCGACCGGTTCCGATCATCGACCAAATCCAAACCATCCTTTCTTCTTCGTTTCTGGTTGTGTTTCAGTCGGTGTCGTGGTAGCTTCACGGGTATCAACTGCCCTCTTGGCTTCAATAGGGTATTCAATGTAATTCCACGCGAGATCCAGGAACAGGGGCTTAACAGGGACTGGCTGGAGTTTGGGTGGATAGGTCACCAAGTTGGATAAATCTGGGCCAGCCGAAGGATATTCACCCAGTCGCTCAAGAAGGGGTGGAAGGATAGAGGACTCGCCCTTGGAACTGGAGCTAAGCTGTTCAATCTCAACGATACCACGGTATTGCCAAATAAGATGTTGCAAATGTTCAGCGAGTCCCTTAGCCTGCAGCTGCGTCACCTCAAGCCGCAAGGGTCTTGAATTGTCAATATGAGCGCTCGCGCGAACATTAGACGCAAGGTTCGATGCTCGAACAAACAGTGCCAAAGCATTCTTCGTGTTGGAGAGAAACGCGTGGGACCTGCCAATAGAGAGACACCTGTTCCTTACAGTTAGCAAATAAGCCATCAACAAGAGTATCAAAACTGACCTCAACGCTAAGAAGTAATGCCGAGTCACATCCAACTCTTCCATAAACTCGGCGTCGCCTGCAACTCCTGGAAGTTCTTTGACAGAATCCAAGCTTTGTAGGATGGCATCATACAGTACAACTCGCTCGCGCAGCCGGGCTAATCTCTTTCCCGTACTCTCCTCCTTTGCGCCCTTTGAGCCTTGTTGAACCTTGGCTCTCTTTTTGCCTCGATATCTCTCAGTCTCAAATTGTAAACCGTCTTCGGCGCCACACAGCACCCTGTTACGACCCACGCGCCATCCCACCAACGCGTAATTCACGGCCGTCCGAGTCATCTGAAGGGCTTGCATTCGTTGGTCTCCCTGGTCGACTCCTTCGTTGGAAAGCTCGTCAATCGCGGTTTTGGTAGCATCAACGGCGTCCTGGCTGGCAATAATAACGTTATCATAACTGGCAGACTTTTCTCTCGGGGACGCATGCTGGCCATCGGGGCTAGATATCCATGACGAAAGCCGCGATTCAGCTGCAGCTGCAGTGCCTAGAGCCTGTGATATGGAAGCATCTTCAAGTTTCACTGTTCGGGATCGCCATGTTATTGTTTGTGGAAGCTCTTGAGTGCTCCCTTCGACGGTAACCGTATTTTCACCTCGCGTTTCGGATAATGATTCGGGGTCAACGGATTCTATCTCTGCTCGTACTTTGTCGTCGGCGGAAAAGTGTTGAATGCTGATAGTGCGTGACGGTATAGAACGCGGAAGTTTGAGCTGGTATGCTGCATATCTAATTCCCGGGTCAATAGTGCTGGACAAAAGATCACGGAATACTTCGCGATCTGTCTTCCTTTGAACCGCTGTATATATGATATAGGCCAGTGAGTTCTCGCGTAGACATTCTCCCCAACGTTGCTTTTCCATCCAAAACGTTGCACAAAGTGAAGCGAGATAAGCTCGAGCTTCTAGTAAGTCGACATTTGACGCTTTGGAAGTCGACTGGTCTTCTAGAAGCTGGACGAGTTGTTTAGCATACACAGTCGCTTTGTTTAAACGAGATATGATATGACGCCTCGTCGAGCCCACAATGCCTTTTGTGGTTGGATCCGCAGAATGTGCCGATTTCATTTGCATGGCCGACGCCCATGCTCGTTCCGCCAGGATCAGATGAAGGTGGGCAAACCTAACCAGACGTTAGGGCTTTGGAAGATAGACCAAACCTCATGACTTACTCAGGATTTTGGCCGACTTCTTCTGCGACCACAAGCGGCTTTGCCGTATACTTCTTTCCCTTGGGGGTCGTTCTCCCAAGTCGCTTGCGGAGAGTGTGCAGTCTTCGGGAAAGCTGAGCACGATACACGTTGTAGTCGCCGACCAGTAGAGCATCGGCCCTATGCGAAACAACGAAGTTGGTGATGTCCATTTTCACAATGCGGATTGCACTACTTGTGGATTCGGCGAAGAAGCTGGTGGCCAACGATACAAAACTCGTCGCACTCGCTGCATCGAAAGGCACCGTCGCAGTGAACACTTCGGGATCCCAATATCAACTTGTGGTGCGGTGCTAGCTCGGTGTGCTGACATAAGCAGAACTGTGGATTTTGTCTTCCGCAAGGGAACTCCTCGGGGACCTGGAATTCATTCTCAAAAAGCCACCCTCTGAGGTGCTTCGTGTGCTCCTCTTTGACTTCTCGTGGAAAAGCCCGTCTCGTTTTCGCTACGACTTTTATTTCCCTCAGAGCAATAACTTTTCAACAGTTGTCCGAGAATCCAGACTCGCCGGAGAAATCATTGCGTAGCTCGCTCGTAAGTTTTATAAACGGTTTGCAGTCATGAATCTTTTTTCTAACAAGCCTCAAGGCTCTTAGATATGCTTCGAATGCCCTAGGACCGTCGTTTCTTTCCCCCTTCGTCTGATTGCTAGCATTTTAAGGCAATGCTGGAGCGGGCTGCGCGATGCATCGAGACCGTCGGACAGCAAATTTTCCTCTGCTCCCAAAGTCCTTTACGGTCGCAACGAATCCTACGCTCAAATTTCTGGCACCACAGTGCAGTCGATATAGATATACCTTTTTGGTGCTTTGGTTTTCTAAGTTCGCAGCATTCACCGGGTGAAACTGATCGCGTGGGCGGGGGACACCGAATTTCGTCGGACCACTTCTCGTACCTTGAATTTCTCTATCCTCCGCGCACCCGGTCTTTCGCGAGATCTTATTTGCGAACAAGAAATCTACACAAAACCACTAATGTCCGTCGGAGGAAACGGTTTTCTTATCGAGGCTTTGCGTCATCCACAGATGCGGTTGAAGGCTCAATAACTGTTTCGGAGGCGCCGAGCAGAAATGTAGACAACAAAGCGGTACTGGCTGAACTGCGGCGGCTTCTTAAGAATGAATATCAGCCAGATTACAGCAAGGCGTGGAAACTTTTTCAGGCCGCCGGATCGCCTGCTGAGTTATCTTCACAAATGCTCGCGTACCTATCAGCTTCCGATAAACGTTCAGACGCGAGTCGTACGAAAGTACTTTTCGATGGAATCCCGGTTTCCAAAAGAAAAGCAAAGGATTATTTATGCGCGATCAAGACAGCTTTAATATGGAATTTTGAAGACTTTGACGTTAAAGATATCTATAATGAAGCTGCCTCAAGGAATGAAGAGGAATTGTGCTGGGGGTTTACAATCGCTTTATTGGTAAACAGGCGGAATTGGCACGATGCTCTTGAGATCTGGAACAATAGGCCTAATTCGGCCCCGGATTCAGAGAAGCAGGTAGAGTCTGCAGAATTATCTGAGCTACCTGGACTGCCCAATCGAGTTATCTCGCTTCTGAAGGATATACAAAATGCTCAATTGCATAAGGATGCGCCTGGACTCATGGACCTCATCCGCTTTATGGTGAATCATGTGGTCTCCAGCCAAAAGTTCATGACAGAAATGTCCACCAAATCCATGCTATCCCTATTCGAATTGCTCGACTCGCTGCAGCTGCATGAAACTCGATTTTACTTCCAGGGAATTTCGACACTACAGTCATTATGTTTGCGACCAGCGCACTCCCGATCAATGTTGCTTTATCGCAATTTTCGATGGCGTCTACCTGAAGAACGCGTCCCACAACCAATGCTCAATCGTTTCTTAAAAAATCTATCGGCGCTAAAGATATCAAAAGGCGTTGACTATTTGTTAGACGAATATCGGCTATTGTACGGGAAGCCATCGCCCGAAGCGTACCGTTACGGGTTAACGACTTTCGCCAGACTTGGGAAGGAATCAGAAGTCAATCGCTTGTTTCGGAGCTACGTGGAAGATTTCGGCGTGCCATCCGACTTGAAATTACTATCTCCGCTTCTCTACGTCCACGCCAGGCTTGGGCAAGTTAAAGAAACGCAAGAGCAATTGGATAGGCTGTCAAAGGACTTTGACGTGTCTCCAAATGTCATATGTTGGAATATACTCCTTACTGCTCACGCCAAATCCGAGGATCTTACGGGCGCAATAACCACGTTCAAAACCATGATCCAGAACGAAATTACTCCCGACACCCATACTTTTGGGATTCTGATGGGCTTACTCGCCAACAAGGGTGATGTGGATGCGGTTATCAACTTGTTCAACTTTGCAAAGCAGAATAAAGTCAGAATAAGTTGTGCTTTGATCGATGGCATCGTTGAGGCATTGTGCAACAACCGCAGATATAGTGATGCTGAAAAAGTGGCCAACGAAGCGCTTCACTTGGATTTTTCTGGATCGTTGACGAGGATGTGGAACGTCTTACTCTGGAATTATGCCTTCATTCCAGACATCGATTCGGTCTCCAGGATCCAAGGGCAAATGCAGCAAGAAGGAATAGAATTTGATGGAATGACTTACGCAGCATTGATGCTTAGTCTTGTTCGAATCGGCAAGCTTGAATCAGCCCGCCAAATTCTTGCTAAACTTCATAGAAGCCGTCGCACCCACATTACGGAGCTTCACTACGCGATTCTACTTCACGGGTATCTAAAGGAAAAGAACCGCGACATGATACTAGTTCTGTACAAAGAAATGGCCGCCAGATTTGAGACACTTGGTCTTAGCGGAAATTTGTCAATGCTTAGGGCCAACATCAGCCGCGACTTGCAGCGGTTTCGTGAAAAAGGCGGCATTTATAGTGATGACTCCGTGGATTTATCCCGGGCAGAACGACTTCTAGACGTGATTATTGAAAACTTTGACGTCTCCATGCTTGCTACGAAACAACCGCAGCCAGGCGCAAAACGACGTTCTGTGAGAAGCGCTTTTCCGTCAGCCTACTATGAACCCCTTGTTTTAGCTTATGGATCTCAAGGCGAGTTCCAGAAAGCCAACAACCTCGTGGACAAGTACCATTTGAACATGAAAAGGCTTGCTCTAGAGACGCAGTCATCGTCTCTTCAATTTCTCCATGCCGAGATGACCAATTATATGAGACAAGGGAAACATGACAAAGTTGATGTGTGCTGGAAAAAGGCTGTTGAAGATACAAAACGTGTTGCGCGTCCCACTGACTTGAAGACACTGATGGACCGATCGCACAATACGCCCGAAATCTCGGACCTTTCACGTAGCCATCACCAAGAGACCTCATCGCACGACGCCGATTCTGGCATCCTTCCGTCCTATCGTTTCGCTCTTTCTCGTTGCATTTCCGTCGTCATGCAATCATTGTCGTATCGAAATCTCCACTCTAAAATCGCGCAGGTTATTGCTGAAGTTGAAAAGATTGGTTTCGCACTAACGACATTCAACTGGTCTCTCTATATCAAACTTCTATGTACATCTCGGCGCCCAGTTGATCAGTTTTTAGCTTTCACCCTCTTCGAAGAGAAATTCATATCGAATTTTATTAGCTGGGCGCACATCAAACGAGGGTATACGAAAAGACCAGTTAAAGCACCCGCTGGCCTCGACTATCTCGAGCGTCGAATTGCCCCATTACAACGACATCAAGTATTAGGTAAAGCCGGTCGCCAAGCTTGGGCTCAGATCCAGCCAGATTCAATGCAGCCGACATATCTCACAATGCTCTATCTCGCTTCCGCCCTGATCGACTTCAGGTCTCGATCTATCGCTAGTGGCGAGGGGGAAATGGACCAACTTCTTTCAAAGGCCCCGCAAACCGTCAACGCCGTTGCGAAGCTACCGTTCCTACGTGAGAAGTTTCAGGGCCTCATCCTTCGTGGCCGCCGGGATATCGAGGAAGAATTGGGCCCGGAACCCGTGAAAACCACTGACCATGTGGTTTGGACCGGTGGTGTCCTCGGCGTTGATGGAGAGACTCGTATCGACACTAGTCCAATGGTAATGGAACCCGAGGACGTAACACCTAGCGACCACGCTAAACCCCACCGGAGACGTGAATATGTGTCAATGCCTGGAGAAGACTTTTCTGAACCCGACGCAGATATGCTAGAAACTATGCTTGCGGAGGACGCGGAATGGAAGGCAACACACTTTAAACCAGGGGCACCGTTTGAGATCGAACCAGCGGAACGAGTCTTAGAGGCGCAAGATGAGTTAGATCTGGAATCAGAAAGTCGCCTCGAGGTTCAACAGGGCGAGGAATGATGTTCCGGAGCTGTCTTATCGGACCGAATTCTTGACATCGTACTGAGACGATATATAACCGATTTCGAAGGTCGCATGTATATATACTTGATGGAGTCTATTGTTTCTTTTGAGCGAGCATATCACGGTGTACAGCACATTTTGAGTTATTTCTGAACTGGGGTATTGGGAAGTGCGGTAACCAAAAGTAGAATTACTGAAGCAGCATTGCATGTCCAGACCGCTTGGACCTATTTACTAGTTAATAATAGCCTTGGGTTACAGCAACTCAGACTTTTCGAAAAGAGCCCCCAACTCTGTGTGATATTTAAGATAGTTAGCCATGAACTAGCGGAAAACACAAATGAGCGGTTGTCTGGAGTATCATTCATAGCTATTAGGCATACGGAGTAGTCCACTCCATGAAATTCCTCGCTAACACAGTAATACTGCACACCCCATCAGATGGAAACGTGTGATTAAAAATCGCATCAAATTGTTTTTAAGCTTTCCCACGCGTCTCCAACGCGTCGAGTCGCGTTCGACACGGAAACCTTATTTGGACCTCAGAGGCACTCAGCAAAATCGAAAGCACTCCATTACTGCAACTGGCCGCTCTCACCCTTTTCCTCCTTACACAATATTAGCTTAGTGCTCCAATTTGCCAGAGGCTTTATGTTTTTGAAGCGCAGCAACTTCGAGGAGCATTCTATCAAGTCAAGCCCTTCAACATGGAGAATTTTACAATGCGAGATGAAGCGGTCCGAGATCGCGTGCGAGCTGCCACAGAATTTCTCGATCCAAGTCAGTATTCCTGCTTTGCTGTACTAGTAATTGCTATCTAACAAACCACTCTGTGTAGGCGATCAGCGAGCCCGAAGGTTGGCGCTTCTCTTCACCCCTTCGCGAACCCTGACCTCGATTCTAAAGTGTAGCCTAGTTATCGCGCGGATATAGTGTTGATGCTGAATCGTGGACTGCGCCGCCTTACGGTAAGAATTAAAAAGAGTTTTGAAGGGATGAAGCCATGGTAACAATTGATTGTCCATCTCAGGTCAGCTTAGACGAGATTCGAGCACATAATCGAGAACTTGCGAATGGGTCAGTATACTCTGGAAAGCCCCTATCCGGTTTAACAATTCATTGATAATTGGCAGTCTTCTCACTCAGCCGTTTGAATACTCCCAAGCATTCGATCATGCTTTGAGAGACGTTATCCAGACGTTAGATGTGGAGTCAACGAGGCGAACAAAGGAAGAAATCGAGGACACGGTTCGTTGCGATCGACAATACCGAAGGAAGAATGACAACTGATTGTGATATAGGCGTGGTATTGTGCTTATGTTGGGGCGTTTGGCGAATATGCCTGCAATCCACGTACCCTCAGCTCGTCTCATCTAAACCGAATGGTCGCATTGGAAGGTATTGTGACGAAATGCTCATTAGTTAGGCCAAAGGTGGTCAAAAGCGTCCACTACAATCCGAAAAAAGACAATTTTCTGGTTAGAGAATATCGGGATCAAACTATGACTGCAACTGGCGCTACCAGTTTGAATGTCTATCCGCAGGAAGACGACCAAGGAAACCCAGTAAGTTTGAAGAATATTTAAGCCAGATATGCAACTAATGTATCGAAGCTGGTTACAGAGTACGGCTATTGCAAGTACCGCGACCATCAAATGATATCGATTCAGGAAATGCCAGAAAGAGCACCAGCTGGTCAGCTTCCTAGGGGTGTTGACGTTATACTTGACGACGACCTAGTAGATAAGGTGAAGCCAGGCGACCGAATACAGCTCGTCGGAATATATAGATCTCTTGGAAACCGGAACGCGAACTCCGGCAGTTCAACATTCCGTACAGTGATTCTCGCCAATAATATTATACACTTGGCATCAAAGTCAGGTGGCGGAGTTGCGCAAGCGACAATCACCGATACAGATATTCGCAACATAAACAAGTTATCCAAAAAGAAAAAGGTTTTCGAGTTGCTTTCGCAATCTCTCGCCCCAAGTATCTACGGTCATGACTATATCAAGAAGGCCATCCTGCTGATGTTGCTTGGAGGAATGGAAAAGAACCTTGACAACGGAACGCATTTGCGTGGAGATATCAACATTCTAATGGTTGGCGATCCTTCTACCGCAAAATCCCAGCTTCTTCGCTTTGTTCTCAACACTGCGCCCTTGGCAATTGCAACTACTGGCAGAGGTTCGTCCGGTGTTGGTCTCACGGCAGCAGTTACAACTGACAAAGAAACGGGCGAGCGAAGACTAGAAGCGGGCGCTATGGTACTTGGAGACAGGGGCGTTGTGTGTATCGACGAATTCGATAAAATGAGTGATATCGATCGGGTTGCCATCCACGAAGTGATGGAACAGCAGACGGTCACCATAGCAAAGGCCGGCATTCACACCACGCTCAATGCTAGATGCAGTGTGATTGCTGCCGCGAACCCTATCTACGGACAATATGATACGCACAAGGATCCTCATAGAAACATTGCATTGCCTGATTCGCTATTATCTCGTTTCGATTTACTTTTCATTGTGACTGATGATATTGAAGATACTAGAGATCGACAAGTATCTGAGCATGTCTTGCGGATGCATCAATATCGCAAACCAGGAACCGAAGAAGGCGCCCCAGTGCGGGAACAAGTTGATAACAACTTAGGAGTCGGCCTTGAGGCGAATGAAAACGCTAATGCACCGGCTGAAGTTTATGAAAAATACAATGCCATGTTGCATGCCGGCATGACAATAACATCGGGTCGAGGGGCTGGAAGAAAAGTGGAAGTTGTTAGCCTGCAGTTTGTAAAGAAATATATTCAATATGCGAAATCTCGAATAAAGCCGGTACTGACCAAAGGAGCCGCCGATCACATCGTCACTACATATTCCGCCCTTCGAAACGATGAATTGACCGGAAATCAGAGAAAGACGTCGCCGATGACTGCGCGTACTTTGGAGACATTGATCCGTTTATCTACCGCCCATGCAAAATCCCGTCTCTCCAACAGAGTTGACGAGAAAGATGCCAAGGTTGCAGAATCAATTCTCCGTTTCGCTTTGTTCAAAGAAGTGGTAGAAGATGGTAGACGCAAGCGGCGGAAAACAGCAAACATGCCCGACTCCGACTCCGACTCGAATGACTCTGATGACGATGGAGACGACACTCAACGGACCGCACGAGGATCTACCGCTACCGGCCCACGTTCAAGCAGACGTCGCGGGCAGCCCGGAAGATCAAGGAGTACTCCCGGTGCTATCGACGATGATGATGAATACGCAGGAAGCTTGGGCAACTCCCAGATGGGTAGCTCGTCTCGCCAAACACGCAGTCAAATAACCACACAGGGTGAATCCCAAATGTCAATGGCATCCTCTCAGCCCGCCTCAGAGCTTCTCCAAACACAAACGGAGAGCATAGAGTCCCAGGAGCGCATAATTCAAAACGCTGTGGAAGCTGCATCAACCGCACCTGCTCTATCCGCCGAGCGGTTGAACGCATTTCGTTCCGCTTTGGGCCCCTTGATGAGATCCGACCTTTTCCAGGGCGAGTCAGCGACGGTGCAGCATGTCCTCGATGCTGTGAACTCGTCGATACGTAATTCAAATTCGCAGGCTGCTGTGTTTGAGCTCACAGAAGCGGTGCAAGCTCTGAATGTAATGAATGACAGGAACGAGGTTATGTGAGTACATTCTGCTATTTTACTTTGGCATCGAGAACATACGGCTAATGAAACTTCATATAGGTACTTGGGAGAGGAAACTGTTTATCGTATCTAATGTCCCTCTTTAGTTCACGACCTCACGGTTTCTGTTCTATGGTTTGGATTAAGTCTGCATCTGTTATAGCGAATCCCCTGAAGTTCGATACCGAATATCACTAGTTAGATATCTGTTTGATGAGCAGGATGGAGTTTAGTAATGATTGTGCAATGTAGGATAAAAGGTCTCTGCATAATCTGGAATGGATCATATAGTTTTTTCAATATATTATTCTCAAAGCCTTTAAGCAAAGTATGATATAAATAAAAACGAAGCTTGCCGAAACAAGAGAATTTAACCTTCAATGATAACACCGGAGCATGCTGTCAAAGTCCACTACTGGCGGCATTTTCATCCCCTTCTTGCGACTCGATCTGTGTCAATGGCGATAAGGCCCGACCTCCAGTTCCCCCGGATAAAGGCGACTTACTCTTCCGACTTCGTTCGGTCCCAGACGTAGCCGTGCTACTACTGCTACGGCGACGCCGCGTCCGCTCACGATCCGAATTCGCAAGTTTATCATCCGCATCCGACAACGGATTTGGCGTCGTGCTGCGTGAGGAGGTTCTTGAATGCGAATCGTTCGGCCGACGGGGTTTCAGGTCACGATCTATGGAATGTCGCGAATGCGCGTGTCGATGACTATGATGGAGATGGCGAGGCCTTTCCAGCTCACGGCCAGGCTTTGCGGTGTTTCTTTTCCGCCTCCAGCTTTGCCAGGGGCCCCATCGGAACCAACCGGCTTCTTGCTTTGCTAATTGGCGCTCACGGTGTTTTATCTTCTCGCGAAGACGCGCGCGGCGTTCATTTTCGCGCTCCCAGTATTCGGTGCGGTATTCGTCCCAATTCTCGCGGAAGGCAGGGGAAAAGGATTTGGGTAGTAAGAGTAGTTTTATGTAATCTCCACCTGGGGAGATGTCTTCTTCGATTCCAGTATCGCTATCATCCTCGTAAGTGTGGCGACCAGTCAACGTAGGACGTCTCTGGCGTTCATGGCCTTCAGCATGCCGACGCTCGACGTAGTGGAACGAAGGGCCTGGCGCAAAGAGGTCGGAGAAGGGAAAGACAAACGAGATGTAGGAGAGAAACTCCTTCCACCACGGGCCCCGAATCACCACTATCTTCGCATTGAAGCCCCGTAGGCCTCGATTCGCAACTCCCAGCCACCGGCGCGGCCAGCGAACTCCCCTTTCCCACTGTCCTGTTCCCCAGACCAGAATTCCAGTCACGACACCGCCCATCAAAGCTATTTTTTCACCCATCTCTACAATCCAGTAAACAGAGCCGCCCACGCCCCCATCCTCCCGCGGCCGCAAGAAGAGCGCGTATGCGAAGTATGTAACCCACAGGGCGAGTAGCAGGATAAAAAATGTGTTTTGCCTTCTCCGGACACGCAGCGCCAGGTACTGCGAGCGCAAAGAGCTCTCGAGAATGAGGAGGTTCAGGTATATTTGCGGCGGAGAGGAGGGGAGAGTGGAGAGCGGGTCTGGAGTTGCGGATGCTACCGCTGGCTTTGAATCAGGCTCGTCTGCGGAGAAGGGGAGATGCGGCGAGGGCGTCCGGGAGAGAGAGTCGGGAGTAGGCGCAGTAGGAGCGGGAGCGCCCTTGACGATCTGGTCAAGGCGAGACATTGGAGCTGCGAGGAAGTTGATTCATTATACGGGCATCGTTGGACGATTGCTCGCGGTCGGCTTGAGATCAGGGCGCGTTGGGTCAGTCCATAAGAGAGTGATTGGGCTAATGGCTCTATCTTTTCTCTTGAAGTGATAAAACGAAGGAAGGCTTCCCGTTGAGTTTTGCAGTGTTGTAGGATCACAGTATGATAGTAACAGTGAGTTGCTGAGAAACGGAGCAGCTCCGATCCCGACCGACGATAATTGTTCCTCCCAAACCACACACCGTCCGCAACAGAAGAGAAACCGGTCAACTACGCTCCCCTCGCTGTCTACTGTCATTGCTAACTAGGTCAAGCGACAGCTATCGCTTCTCCAATCCCCAATCCCCAATCCCTCGCCCGGCGCATCGGCGCAATCCAACTGTCCGGCCCTCGCCACACTGACACGTTTGACGCACGAGAACGAAGCTGCCTGCCACCAACCCCGTATCTCCAAACCACGCCTAACCCCGACTTGCAGCTGAAACGGACGAAAGAGCGGGCAAAAAATATATAGCCAGGTGGTTTTCTTCGCTGGCTCTGTTATATGCCATCCATCCGCGCATTCACCTCGAGTGACAGGTGTCCACTGTCACTCCATCGACCATCTTCAAGGTGTATCCGGGACGAGTCTCAACCGTACCACTGTTGCAGGTTACTCGACCCAGGCCGCTTTTTGACCTTACAACCAGCCTGTCCTTGATTGCGCCGCCGTGGTTGAATGCGAACAGCATCCTCCGGTTCCAGGCCCATTTTGAATCGTCCATTGCGCAGTCGGACCCTTCGTCCTCGACGACTTCACAGTACCATCCCGACATGGCGTCCACCACGGCATCGCCGTCGGACGACGTACGAAACCGCCAACAGCAAAGCCCATTGGCTTCGTCAAGGCCTGAAGCACGGCCTCCCGCTCCTCTCTCGCGGCTTTTCCCCCTGGGCTATAAAGAGGGGTTCAGTCAGTGGGTATGCCACCCGGACAACGCGTCTACATGATCTTGATTACATTTTCTGTCATTGCTGCAATGCTGACGACTATTGTATATGGTTACAGTGGGCAAGCATTCCCGCCGCCGCTGCGGAACATAAAGTCCTGTCGTTCATCCCGTACCTCCAACGGCCACCGACGCATACCCAAACCGGCAAAGAACCTGCTACTCCCACTGAGCAACCAGACCCGTTGACCGCCGCAGATCATAGTCAACCTGGCCAGGTGTCAGAGAACTCGGTCAATGACCCTCACGGGCCGCGAAAATGGAGATCTACTATGGTAGAATTGAGTGGCAAAAACCGTGAGCTGAACGAGTTCTCGGTTGAACGAGTTGGAGAAAAGGTAGAAAACAACCTCGTCGTTCTTCACGGCTATGGGGCAGGGCTGGGGTTCTTCTACAAGAATTACGAAGCTTTAAGTCGAGCTAAAGGCTGGCAGCTGTATGCTTTGGACTTGTTAGGCATGGGCCGCAGCACTAGGCCACCTTTCAAGATAGCTGCAAAAAAGCGAGAAGAGGCCATCACAGAAGCAGAGGACTGGTTCGTGGATGCGTTAGAAGAATGGCGTGTCAAGCGAAAAATAGACCGATTTACTCTGCTTGGCCACAGCCTCGGAGGCTATCTGGCTGTTGCATATGCCCTCAAATACCCTGGGCGTCTCAACAAACTGATTCTTGCATCACCCGTGGGAATCCCGGAAGACCCGTACGCGGTGAATGCTGACGTACCCGATCCATCAACCTCGACAATGGCAAATGAATTTACCCAGGATCAGTCTGGGGGTGTCCAAGTTGGTGATAACAATAACTTTTTGAATGCTAGAGACAAGGCCGCCGCCGCTAGTGCGAATAATAACGGCAAACCCCCTGCGCGGACTATCCCGAAGTGGCTCGTGTACCTTTGGGATGCTAATGTTTCCCCGTTCAGCCTCGTCCGATGGTCTGGTCCATTGGGACCCCGGCTTGTTTCCGGCTGGACATCTCGACGATTCTCGCACCTACCTCAAGATGAAGCTAGCGCCCTTCACGACTACGCATACTCACTTTTTAGGCTCCGTGGCAGTGGCGAGTATGCATTGTCATATATCCTTGCCCCAGGCGCGTACGCTCGTAGCCCAATGATCCAACGGATTCACGGTGTTGGCCGACAGGTCATCCCGCCACAATATAATGCTGGGCTATTCAAGTCAAACACGCAAAGCAATTGTACCCTCTCATCTGGCGACCCGCCGCCACCTTCGTCTGCTCCATCACCGTCGGATTCGTCAAGTTCTTTTGTTTCTGTTCCACAACCTCCGCGTCGTGAAAATGGTATCCCGGTCGTGTTAATGTACGGCGAGCATGATTGGATGGACGTTAAAGGCGGCTATGTGGCCAAAGAGAGGATCGAACAAGAGAAGCGACGGATCTTGAAGGACGCGTCTATCGAAGAGCAGGAAGCAGACAAAGGATCCGCAAAAGTCGTTATCATCAAAAAAGCCGGCCATCATTTGTACTTGGACGGGTGGGAGGAGTTTAATGATGTTATGCTAGAGGAAATGAGGGATGTGAGTGAAAACCACTCGAGTCCCCAGTTTCCTGCATCGTGAAGAGAGGGAAGAAAATTATTTGGCGTTTCATGTAGATTTATGTTCCAAACACCAGGCAGAGGCTCTTAGACGGCCCCGTCTATGCAATTTATCTTTTATACCCGAAGATACAAGGGACAGTCAAATATCAATGCGATCTTCGCTGTTTCTGTCATTCACTTCATGCTGCCACTATTGTCACTGGTTTCCGGACAACCCTGGCTTCGATGCTGACATTTAATTCTGCGGATATCTCGCGAATATATTTTATCGAATTTCTTATATGCTTTTAAGAAACCAAGGACGACAGTTAACTTTCAACTTGGATGCATGCGATATGATAACCTATTATATCTTGTTTCCAATGACAAAACAATATTCTGAAACCGCTATTAATTACTTCGAGCCCATTACTACGATACGACGCTAGCTATCGATCCTGCCCAACGGTGAGAAGTTTGACAAGTTGCTGAAAAGAATGGAGAGAGGTTTTTGCAATACCACAGATTCCCAAACCAAATGGCTAAAAGATAGTCCAGCAATCCTGTAGGTTTCTTTTTTAAACGACTGAGCCAGCTCCAACCCCCGACGGCGGGGCCAGATGAGTTAACTTAGTATTCCATGTAATCTGAAGATCCAGCTTGCCTCCCCGGGCTATTACTCCTCCTCCTTGGATGGGTCCGGGTATTAAAATGCAGCCGGGGTCCAATGGGTAGCACGCCATCGACATCTCCCTCATACTGTCCCACAAAGGAGTGTTCCGTGCGAGAGGTGGACGACACGCGCTTAGGCTGGCGACGGCGACCCATGTTTCCAGAAACTTCCGAGCGGTCACCGTTGCGAGGCTCCCGATCCTCGTTCACATCTTCCCAGTCTCCGTTGTCTGCGGGGCTGGGAGAATCAAAGGTAATGTGGTAGTTTGGAAAGTACTCATCTTCGTCTGGTGATGTTTGAGAATCGGACGGGGATCCCGGAACTCGGGCGAGAGGCTGATTCTGGCTGTCTGAGAAGGTAATGGCTGTTCCTAGCGGGCCATGTGGTGGAGGGATGCCGACGCTTGAAGGGTGCGGGGGCGGCGAGAGCCTCTGGAACGGAGTTATGAATTTTGTGGGTTCTTCACCTGCAGTAGATTCTTCTGAGGATAGAAGAGAGGACAATTTGGCAACAACCTCTGATTCGGCATAGTAGAATAGATCGAGGATACCTCCGAGAAATGCATGGGTGGCTAGATAGAGCACAGTGCATGCAGTGGTGGTGAAGGCGAGAAAAATAACAGGAAGCGCAGCAGCATAGGTGATGATCAAGTACAATGGCTTCAAAGCCGCTATCGGCGGATATCCCGGTTGAGGCATCGTTCTGTTCTGTACCTCCTGGAGCGTTGAAACATATAGCTGATGTTGTTGTTGGCGGCGATGATCAGACGATAAGGACCCCCACTCCTGGCTTAACTCCGGAGAATCCGGCGCTAATCTGCTCTAGGCTAGTCTAGATTAATTAGTTATGTAAGCATTGCTAAAAATAGCAATATCAACAACCTCATTCTTCATGATTTCGACATCTTGAAGTTGCAGGGCGTTAAGGATTGATAAATTAGCTGCAGATACACATTGAGAGAAGTATCGCAATGGAAATAGACGACATCGATAGGTCCACTCCGTTCCCTTGGGAGCTGGGCGTGTTCGACGCCCACTGTCACCCGACAGATACAATGGCTTCAATCAACGATATCCCCTCTATGAAAGCGAGAACACTCGCGATAATGGCTACCAGGGCCCAGGATCAGGAGCTGGTTGCTCAAGTTGCTTCCAAGCTTTTAGATCCAGACCTAACGGATCCTTCCAACCGAGAAGAATCCCAGCCAGATAGAAAGGTCATTCCTTGCTTCGGCTGGCATCCCTGGTTCTCCCATCAGCTATTCGATGATCTAAACTCCACGCAAAACAAGGACATAGATAAAATCGAGCATTACAAATCCGTCCTGACCCCATCAATTCAAGACGAGCATCTACTCGATGACCTCCCCAACCCTCGCCCCCTTTCAACCTTCATCCGGGAGACAAGACAGCATCTACTCACATATCCACACGCACTGGTAGGCGAAATTGGGCTCGATCGCGCCTTTCGCATCCCCAACGCTTGGTTTCCGCATGAGATATCAAACCGCGATTCGTCACGGACGCCGGGATCGCGAGAAGGTAGAACCCTTTCACCTTACCGCGTGCAGCTGTCCCACCAGAAAGCCATTCTGAAAGCTCAGCTTCAACTAGCCGGGGAACTCCAGCGGCCGGTATCTATCCACAGCGTGCAAGCGCATGGTGCGGTACTCCAAGTCCTTCAAGACTTGTTCAAGGGATACGAGAAGCCTGTTGTATCCAAACGGCAGCGCAAAAGACGGGGTAGCGTTGAGGGTGCTCATGATGGAGAGAGCGAGGATGCGCTAGATAGTAGTCGCCGTGAGGCAGGCGATTCACCTTTGCCTTTTCCGCCAAGGATATGCATGCATTCATATTCTGGTCCCGTGGAGCCCTTACGACAATTCTTGCACCCGTCCAGTCCCGCGGATGTGTATTTCTCGTTCTCCAACGTTATTAATTTTTCGAATGGGCCAGCGTCCAAGGTCGTGGAGGTGCTGAAGGGAATCCCTGATGATAGGATTTTGGTGGAGAGCGATTTGCATTGCGCGGGGCCCAAGATGGATGACATGTTAGAGGTTATTACGAGGAGTCTATGTGAGATTCGGGGCTGGGGCCTGGAAGAGGGTGTAAACAAGCTTGGAAAAAACTGGAAAACATTCATCAACGGTTAAAGAAGCCAACTCGGAGTTTGTTTGTTCAACCCTACACGCTAGCGCAAAAGCTTTGAGACTCCCTAAACGAATCCTGAATGACATTGGATAAAAGGATTTGCTCTAAACCGTGTGAAATAGCCGGTGAATGCGAATTCTATTGTTCCAATCGGCTTTTTAAAGCCAGTATCTAGTATATACTATATAGAGAGTAACCCGAAATAAAATCGGGCAGAGGAAAAAGCCTAGTTGCCAGTATATTTTCCGTCTTTGCCATAAAGCTGTGCCTCCAGAACAGCACCCTTGCCGTTCAAAACACTCTCAACGGCTTCCGGCAAAAGCTTAGCCAGCTCCTCGACCGTTCCAGCGCGGCCCGTCCACAGTTCACCTCCAGCCGCTGCCTTGGCAATTCCAGCGTAGTCAGGGCTTGGGGTAAACGAAATGTTCAGTTCTTCATTTGTCACACGAGAACCATAATCATTGGGATGCACAAGCAGCAAACTATGGCGCGGTGCATTCCAGCCATTGTTGTTCAAAACAATAGTCAAAACCGGGATCTTATAGCGACGTGCAATCCAATACACAGATCCAGGTACGGTAAACAAAAAGGTACCGTCTCCAACAATGTGGCACACAAATTTGCCCTTGCCGCCATGGTGGTCATCGGTGGCGAGCTTGATACCGAGGGCACCACCGCCAGACCAACCAAGACCTCCACCTCCGCAGTTGATCCAAGACTTGGGCAATGAAGCTTGGATGTGGTCGGAAGCGAGTCCAGCGAGGGTAACTGCCTCCATAGCCCAGATGGTATCTGGAGGACAGGCCTGGCGAGCTTGCGAAAAGAGAAATGCTGGGTTCAACGGGGCGTTGATTCCTTGAGGTGTAACGGCTTGCTCTGCGAGGGATTCCAAACGTTTTCTATGGGATGCTTCGATGACATTTCGCCGCTGTATGTACTCGTTAGCTAACAATTTCTCGGTAAGCTGCTTGTTTCCAGATAAATATTTATTCAACTGGGTGAATGCGGTGCTAGAATTAGCACGATAGGTTGCCAGAGCCGGGATGTAGAACAGAGGCATTTGTTGCTTCAAGGGATCGACGTCGATATGAAAAATTTTTGCAGTTGGAGATGGCTTGCATTGAGTAGGGATCCACGGGACATCACAGTCGGCCACCAGGATGACATCTGCGGTTTTAATCGCATCGTGCACGCCATGGCGCATTCCGAGAGCACTTGGATGGTTAGCAGGGAAGCACATATCGCTCCCACCAGTCTCGAGAACCCGTACGCCTTTGATAGTATCAGCCAACTTGACGAGTTCCGTAACAGCCTTCTCGTAACGACCGGTGTATCCCACAATGATCAGCGGCTCTTTGGCAGACACCAATTCGGTAGCAATTAGTTCAATAGCCTCTTGTGGAAGAGCAGCAGGGCGAACACCATTCCAATGCTTCTGTTCAATGTTGTAAGGCTCAATTTCCTCCTCTAGCACTTCTCTACAAGCGACAAGGTAAGCCGGACCTGTCGGGTCGCTGGTGGCGAACTGAAGCGCACGGTTAACCATCTGCTTGATATTTTTGCCGGTCTTTATTTCCGCCGCATATCGGCAATATTGAGCGACAATCTGCTTTTGGTCCGGCACATCTTGAATCCAATGAATGTACTCGGTACGTGAGCCTCGCATTTCCCCTTCCATGGTGATTGGAGAGATCCCGGCAAAGATGAGCACAGGAGCCCGTCCACATGAAGCATTGTGCACGGCTGCAGCCAAAGCTTGAGTGCCGACGTCGGTATGGATAATCACACATTGCGGCTTGTTGGACAGACGAGCATATCCGTCGGCCATCGAAAGCGCAACCATCTGTGGGGCGGGAGTGGGGATGCTGTTAGCCACATGTAAAGTGATGCGGGGAAACGATAGATCCAGACGCTGCACACAAAATCGAGGGGAAAAAAAAGAAAAAAAGAAAAAAAGAAGGAAAAAAAAGTAATCAGATAGAACATACCTCATTGGGGCAAGTAATAATCTTGGGCACCCGGCCATGGTTTGCTTGCTGAGCCTTAATGTAAGCTTCAAGGATTGCTGGATGGTCAGATCCCAAATTGGCGAAAATATAACGGATTCCAGCCTGATTTCCAACATGTTAATGGTGGAAACCATCAAGTTCAACAATTTAACCATCAGCTTACATCCCAAAGTGCCTCAAGGAAGGCATCTGATGCTGTGTAGCCCCTAAAAAGATGAAAAGGACCTGCATTAGTGTCGTCGCGCGTAGGTGTCCACGACAAGGGGACTCAACTTACATTTTATTAGGCTACAGCTGTAAGAAACAGTTGTATAAGAATAGCGATTGCACCTAGTTTTGGATAAAAATAAAAAGAAACGAAGCAGAAAGAGCTGGCTTGGAAGGGGAGAGCGGCTGTTCTCAGGGCTCAACTATGCTTGTATAACACGAGATGGCAGGCTAAAGAGCGCAAAGAGCCCAGGTGTAAATGACATAGAAACAGATAAGAGATGCAGCCTCCCTTGACGCAGAGACGGACGGGGTGTGGAGAGGAATCCCCTGCGCTCTTCATCGTGTGCTGTTGTGCATCGATATCACGGTCGGCACCGCCAGCCGCCAAGCGCGAGCGGTTCCGGCGCTCTGGGACTGGAAGCCTTGCCTTATCGGGCTAGCGGGAAAACTATCTGCCGGTAGATTGCCGGTGCTTATGTAATTGCCGTATTATATCAGCCGCCTTGGCCCTCCGTGATGATGTAATGCCCACCGCAGCATCAACTTCTCTCAACGTTCGACAACGAGCACCAGAAGCCAGCCATCTCTCGGGGCAGGCTGGGAAGGCTATGTCTATTCATCGTGAAGTCTGGCTTAGTCGCTAGGCCCAATATTGGAATACAACTGCACACAGGATATATCTTCCTGTCTGCAATGCCCCAGCCAACTGCCATCCCTGCCTGCAGATGCCCTGATATCCTACAATTTTGCCATCGGACTAGGCGGTAATTTCGTCATTTTGTATGTGGGCGGAGTATTTCGACCGCGGTGTTTCTACGCTTTGAATTCCTGTCAAGTCTCAATGGCACCGATATGGCATATTTGCTGCTCATTGATCTGTTTCTAAGGAGTGTTTCTCGGGCTTGCGTGAACGCCTTCCTTACTTTGTCAATTACGTTTTTCTGTGTGATTCTGGCTTTGCTTTTGTACCAGCCAACAAGCGCCAATCAAACTCCCTGTAAAATGATCCCCGGAAAGCTTCATGCTCTGTGCCAGAGCGAAAGCAGCGTCAGCTCTGAGCTGGCCAAGGACCCCGACACGGCTCCTTATGAGATAATTGCAAAGCTCTATAAAAATTTAAAAGGCGACCTTAATGAGGGGTCTATTCAAGAAAAACAGCTTGAATATACCCCCGAAGAGTTGCAAGCCGCGTATGAATGTGGTACATGGGGCTCTCAACGTCCTAGTGATCTTTTTCTAAAGGTGCCGTATTTGTGTAACCTAAAACGCACTCAAGCGGCTAAGATGATGAATAGATTTATCATGATGCTTTGTGTACTCTTGGGAGAGACCCAATGGCCGGTCTCATATCTCCGTCCTTGATGGGCAGCTGTGGTGTCGTGCCGTTAACAATCATCGGACCGATACCAGATATCTGCCGTCACATGTCTAACTGCATCGTACGCGCAGAAAAGGAAATCATTCTTGTGACCAGTTATTGGATATACTCGAATAGCTCCCGGCTATTGACCAATGCAATGAAGGAATTGTCGCGACGTGCCGGTCTGCGCGGGACAAGAGTAGTGATAAAAATGATGTATGATCGTGGCAACTTGAAGCAGGTATGCTGTATATCAAAGCGTCAATTGATTCAGTGGTTTTAAGTCAAAATGATTAGTTTATAGACAATCGCCAACCAGTTGGCGTAAAGGAGGCCAGGAGCTCCAAAGTACAACTTCCTGAACCTGAAGAGATTCCAAACATTGATCTTCAGGTGCTCAACTACCACCGCCCTGTTGCCGGAACACTTCATTCGAAGTTTATGATTGTTGACAGAAAGGTTGCCCTGCTCGAAAGTAACAATATAGTGGTTTGTACCACCCCGGACCCCAGGTAAAATGCCAGGATAGTGACGGATTACAGGATAATGATAACATGGAGATGATGGTCCGTTTCGAAGGTCCCATTGTCGATTCTTTTTATGACATGGCGCTCATCTCTTGGAACGTTGCACTAAACCCTTCGCTGCCATTGATCGATACCCCAGCTAGATCTAAGATACCTCCGAGTTATTCCTTCACTTTTGCGAAGCATCGTTCCAAAGATAGTGTATGGAGCAGCCAAGGAGATATCATGTATGTCACCGGCCCGAACACTTAGGTTCGCGACTGACACTTTCTTCAAGGGCTAAAATCCATTCAGAAGAACCTGAAGACAAGTTGCTGCCAGGGCATACTCCTGACGAGCCGCATTATGATGCGGATATTGTTGCTGAAACAGCGCGGATAACTGCATCGCTTACTCCCCGCCCGGGAGAAACCATGCGCGATAGTGTGACTCGCCATCTAAGTGTGTGTTCCTCAGCCGTTTGCTTGATAGCAATCATTGATAAATCCGACAGATATTGTCACAAAATCTGGTATCACCGGCGATGCCCCTGAATGGGATGAGAAGAACCACATGACTCCCTACATTTTGCACCAGCCTCACGAGCCATTCCCAATGGCAATGGTAAACCGAGAGCCTTGGGGAGGTAAGTTTGGTTTCTACCAGATTTTGATTCCGTAAGTAATGGCTTCTTGCAGCTTTAAACCATTCTAGCGTCTATACTCCGCAAAACGCGGCTTTTCTCGCCGCCATCGGAAACGCGAAACATTCCATTTTCATCCAAACCCCAGACCTTAATGCCGAGCATCTCCTGGAACCACTTCTGGACGCTGTGCGGCGAGGAGTCATAGTAACGTGTTATCTTTGCCTGGGCTACAATGATGCAGGCCAACTACTCCCGTTCCAAAACGGAATAAATGAAATGACATGCAACCGTCTTTTTAACTCACTATCGACGGATGAAGAGAAATCCAGGCTGCGAATATACAACTATGTCGGCAAAGACCAGACAAAGCCTATACATAACACGTTTAAGAAACGAAGTTGCCATATTAAACTTATGATCATCGACGGAAGCGTTGCTATTCAAGGTTCGCTACTCGCTGCTCCCGCTATTGTCCTCATTGTCTTCCCACTAAATCTGACGGAAATATGAATGCTGTAGGCAGTGGAAATTTAGATACACAGTCCTTTTTTCACAGTCAAGAAACCAACGTTCTTCTCGACTCGGAGTTGATCTGTAGGTCCTGGCTGAATGCGCTTCAGAGGAACCAAAACACAGCAACTTATGGAGCTGTGAGCAAAGCCGACGGCTGTTGGCATGATCCAGAGACGGGAGAGCTCGCGATCGGTTCGATTGGGACGGACCCTGGAAGGTTTAGTTGGCTGCGGGGAGTGGTGGGCGCGGTCAAAAGGGTTAGAGGAATTGGGGGATTTTAGGGTAGAAACGAAAAGAGCGATGGTATTTCGATTTTGGATAATATATCAATATTCATTTGGAAATGTAATATATTTGGAAATAGCTGACATATATGAATGGATAATTGACCAACCTTGTTGATCTTGGGGGAATTCTATTCGCAAGACCCAAAGGGAACCTCATAAACATCACATTGGTGTAGAGACGCGAAACAGTGTGCCCGCCAACCGTGAGGTAACTAAGGGCGTTAGCGAAATATGCATAACTCACACCCAAGCGAGCACTTCTAAACAGGGTCCCCGGTATTTTCACAGGTAGCACCTTTTTCAAACTAGCCATGTTTGCGTACGTGTGCGAGGTTATGGAATCAGTTTGGCACAACACTGGATCAAGGTAACTAGACTTATGTTTCAAAGCTTTTCTTTCTATTAAGCTGAGTGATCGATGCCATACATACATACAAAAAGGGCCAAAGGATTATGTACTGCAAACGAGCTCTGACCAGTTCCATACAAAAAGAAACAGGGGAAATACAATGCACGAGAGACCGCAAGCAACGAAGTAGACTTAATATTCTCCCATTTTCCAAACAAATTCCATAATAACACCGAGACATATAGCCCAGAAAGTTGCAAAAGCGGCAAGGCGCAATAAAAAGACAAGAAAATAGGACTGATAACTTGTTTAGGTAGCAAAAGAAGTGTTAAAAAGAAAGGGCAGATTAAGATGTAAGTATATTACCAATAGTCATGGCGTGTCAGTTCATCCTGTGATACTTCTTTCCAAGAAAGGCGAAGAGAGGAGGCGCATAAACCAAGGGAGATTATTATTTGTTATTCAAAACGAGCAAAGCAAAGAGGATCGTGTATAAATTACTCCAGTTCCCCAATCAGTAAATGTAAGTAGGAAATAATATTGACGGGAAAGTGTTCGAATAAATCGAATTGCCCGTAGGCAGTGTGGAGAGGTTACATATTCGCGAGTTCATGATCAATTTGGCGGTCAAGGAATATTTTCTTATCGCCGGATAGCGTTGTTTGTAATCTTTGCTCGACAAGGGCGCGGACTAAACATACATTAGCATTGATAAGTAAGGCGCTGAGTAGTGAGAGTACATACCCTGTTTTTTAGTAACACTATCCAGATCTACCTCAGCAAGACAAGACCGAATAGCAGCTGTGATTGCTGTCTCGTCCGGCCCTTGGTTTGGTGGGTTTCTGAAATCTACCATTGTGCTAGCTGGTCGTGACAACGGGCTACGCATACTCTGTCGTTGGGAAACCCCCAAATGACCGTCTGGGCCAATCATTCCGGCTGCGCTTAGTCGATTAGGATTATCTTGGTAGTGGCTCAAATTTCCGATGGACATATGGCGGGAGTTGCGAGCCTGAGGGTTGTCGGTATATTGAGTGAATTGCGTCATGTGAGAGTTCCTGTTGCCCGGGACAGCCAAGGAAGTCGTCGATTGTGGCACGATATAGGGCGTCTGGTGCGGTCCTTGATTCGGGAATCCAGTAAGAATGGTAGATGCCGGCTTGACGGAGGAATACATGGAATGCATGTCATCCATTTCCAAACCATCATCATAATACTGTTGGTGAGGCTTCTCTTGAGCTGCATTACCTCGGCGGCCAGGAAGATTATTCATGAGAGCGTAATCGTCCCAGCGCTGAAGAGGAATGCTTCGAGGATCAAAGCCTTCATCGTCAACGGCAAAAACACGCTTATCGCCCTTCTCGCCAATGACAATTCGAGTATTACCCCAAGAGAAATTGTCTTGATTCCAGAACGAATAGATAGGAAGAATGAAACTGTAAATCGGGTATGCCATAATGTAGATAATCATCCATCCAATGTGCTGCCACTGGCGTTTGATGATGAAAATGATGGCTTGCAAACCGTAAACAGCCGCGAGGATGGCAATGGAGATCACAGGAAATTGGCCCGTCTTGCTAGCCACAAGGTAGATAAGATAGCCCAAATAAACCGTGGTCGCTGGGAGAATGATTGTACCGAATAAATCAATGAAGACAACGAAGCGCATGCTGAAACAGCAAAACCCGCACAAGTCCTTAAGGAACATCAGTTCTGCCAAGTTGTGGATGGTGGAGTTGATCCAACGACGTCTCTGTGAAAGCAAAACGCTCCATGTCTCGGGTGCAGCTGTGCTGGCATATGCATCTGGAATGAACTTGTAAGACATGTTGGGGAAATGTCTAGTCATCAAAGTCGTAAGGTATCGATCCTCTCCAAGAGACAAAAGGTTCTTCTTGTGGAGCGTGTCAACATCGCCATCAGCATACTCGGAGATGACTTTGTCTGATATGATCAACGGTCGACCTTTATCAGCCGTCCGGAGTCGATACATGCAAAAACTTGGGTGAGAGGTTAGTGGAATGTTGAAATAAGCTTGAATAAGATATAAAACTTACCATCCCGGAAGACATGTCACGCTTCCAAAGAGCGATTCAAAAGACTTGGCTAAATGATGTGAAATGTAATATTCGTACACCTGAATCATAGTCCACCAGGAACGTTCCTCGTTTTGCAAGCTAGTCTCACCGCAGATACCAGCAATTTTGGCGTCATTGGCACAACTTGCCACAAGGCGATTTAGTGAATCCTCCCTGACACTTGTATCGGCATCGACCATGAGCACGTATTCGTAAAGTTCAGGATCAACTCCGATCACGTTGTTCACTTGATGGAACATTTCCAGTTCTAGTGGAGACATCATCGACCGGTGATGGACACGATTCAAGAAATTAAGAAGCATGACCTGCGAATCGCGTTTGCCCCGGTTTCCGGGCTTAGACTTGGTCTGCTCAGATTGCTTCCCAACTTTGACGATAACGATATAGGGAACGACATTGCCTTCATACTCATAGAGGCCGGAGTATACCTTTCCATAGTTCAGCTGTTCGCTTCCCACGCCAACAGATTTGAAGGGAAGAGCAGGCGGATCAATTTTTGGATCGACGCCCAAGATGTCCAGGACTATTTTCGGGGTAGGTCTGTCGTTGCCTCCACCAACAATCATACCATCACAGACAACACAAATGAGTTTTCGCTTGTTGTCATACTGCAGGGCCGTAAGAGAATCAAGACCCTTCCGAAGTTGGTCCTCTCCTTCCGTATAAGCTGGGACAAGACAGATAACAAACTTATCCTGAGGTGATGGCCGTCGTTTTGTTCCCAGCTGGAGAGCCGCCAAAAATTTAATGAGGATCACGGAACATAGAATGATAGTGAACGCGAGGAGAATGTAGCTGTTGACCTGGCATTGAGCATCCTCTCGGAAATCTAGTTTGCCGACATAGAATTGATTATTCAAACAGTTCAAACTGTTAGCGAAATCAACAGTGTCTTGCCAATGCTCTGTAATGTCTGTTCCTGCGTTCTGTTTGAACAACTCTGTCACGGCACTAGGCAAAAAGTCGTATGCTTTTGAACCATCTTGAAATTCAATAGTATAAAAGTAATCCGTTAGATCGTATATTTTGCCGCGGATGATTGCCCACTTCCTAGAGCGCTCTTCAGCTTCTTTGGGCAGGGATTTTTTCGAGTGTACCAGGTCTCCTTTGTAATACTCTTTCATCCGGGGCAAAAACGTCGTGGCGTACCAATCGATTTTATTTTTCTTACTCGTAGGGTCGGGGTCGAACCGAGGACCAGACCTATGGATCGCATCCTGGTGTTCTACCGTGATGTTGTTCATTAGGGAAACGCCTACCCCAATATCGAACCCCCGACAGGCCAGGGTAAGCGGAACAGGGAAATAAGCGTCCATGTTAAGCCCACCGAGTCTTAGCATGTCCTCCTTGTTAGTTGGGTATCGGCGACTGGTATGAGGGGCCTTTGCGAACTTGGATATATCGTAGACTTTTCCATGAATACTGACGTATAGATCGTTTTCACCTTGGTGATAAGCGACTTGGTTATCCGTCCAGACCTTATCTTTATTGGGACAAAGTATGTTGCCGAAGAAAACGATATAGAAGACAACGGTGGCATTGAGCAAGAAAATTAGGAACATAAGGGTCACCTTTTCTCGCCATGCCATCCGGACGTCAGGGCGCCTCATTCGACCCACATAGCGAAGAACGAACGACGGAATCCAGAATGTGAGCGCCCAAGTGAAACCGGCCCAAATGCGACGGCTAGCTGGTATTTTCTTCTGCTCGATCTTTTTCGGGTCTCCAAACTCGGGGTCGATGGCAGTCCACCTGCCAGTTTCTTGATCGTAATAAACATTTTCATGTTGTCGGTCGTCACCCTTGGGGCCAAGACCGTAATCGCCTGTCATAACCTGGACCGGCTGAGACATGGTAGTAGGGGCAATAGATCGAGCACCTCCGAGAGCACTGGGAGCTCTAGGTCCCATTGATTGCCGATTCACGAGATTCTCTCGGCTGCCAATCGTGCTCATGTTATCGCCAGGGAAAAAGCCGCTGCCGGCTGCTTGTGATGGGCCGCCGTAGGTTCCTTCGAAAGGGGTAACGACAGGCGTGCTGAATGGATTTACAGGGGCCATTTGGGGTTTCAAGTCAAGCATTGATTCTGCTTCCCACCAAGCCGCTTCGCGCATCCAAATTCGCTCCCTCGCAACGACAACATCCCCGTTACTCCATCCTCGCTCGATAATCCAATTCTCAACTCCGTCTTTCCCATCTTGACAGCCAAGAGGGGAATACCGTCCGACAAATTCTTCCACGTCAAAGTCTGCCGTGAAATCAAGGTTCTTGTTACGGCGATTTGCCCATTCTGCGAGTCTCCATGAACGAAGTTGACGTGAAACTGTTCCGGCGGACCAGGCCGAAGTAATCGACGGTAAAGACGATATATGGGCTGGTCCGTCGTCGACAGGGTGTAGTGAAAGATGGTACCATACCCTGCTGCTACCAAGCGTAGCATTCAGGTCAAAACGGCCTTTTTGACCAAAATTTAAATCTCCTCCGTCGGTAGGATACAGCACTTGTCTCAGGAACGCTCCGGGTTCTAGTTCAACTCCAACCTTCTCGAGCACGCCCTGTATTCTATCTCGTTCGCGTTCTCTATCGCGGCCAGCAGCACCAGCTGACATACCCAGATCAGCTTCCACTTCAGCCACGGCATTTTCCATTTCTTTGATGACAGAGTGGCCGGGATTAACCATATTGATTCCATCGTCTTTCATTTCGGCATTGATACCGGATGAATCATCAAATACACCTTTGAGGGCGACGGCTTTGCCCAATTTCTCCCCCGGAATCTCAACGACGCTGATGCTGACTGTGTCTCCATTCTCTTCGTCGGTCAATGGGGTTCTAGTGCTGGGCATACCGTCGCTTGAGCCATTGTCATGAGAGCCATGAAGTTCAACGCGGATGGCATCATTCGCTTTGCCGATGACCCAATCTAAAAGAGCTTCATACAAACCTGCAACTAATGACTGCCGGTCTTCCGTTGAGCAGTGTTTCAGAAGGACAATTGGGTCCAGATTGAGAAGCCCACCGATGTCCTCACAGAGGTCCTCTAGTTCATCTTGATCGACTAGAAATTCCGAGGTCTCACCAAGCTTGAGTAAAGCAGCCAGCACCGAGAGAAGACTGCGATGAGCTGCTCCTTTGATGCCAATAGCTTTGAGATTCGCTCGAAAATCCTCCGCGGCGGCACCATCGTCAGCTGTGGGCAGGTAGGATGGTGGAATGTACGTCTTAGATCTGTTGAGTAGTGCATATGCCTCAGGGGCCTTAAGACTAAGGAATTCTTTTTCTGTTGGGGTGGACGCAGACGAGAGGAGATAGTAAAAGACGTCAAAGGCACGATAGCCTGCTTCAGCGGGAATTCTCGTAAGTCCATTGGAGATGTCGACGCCAGATGTTGACAGGGCTAGGGTAAGATTGGTGACTCTTCCAGTCAAAGAAAATGTATACGTTGCGGCAAAAGATGAATACTGGAAGCGAGCCGGGTTAAATGGGGTGACTTGGGAGACGAACGGCCGAATTGCGGCCAAGGCTGTGTAGGCGATATCTGGAGTAGATAAAGGCAATGATGCTAGAAACGATGGAAGAAGAGAGGGTGTATTTTGATGCGGCGAACTAGACGGGGGCCTTGTCAGCTTGGGGCAGGGAAACATCATCTGAATATGAGAACGAACCAGAGCACAACGCAGCCATCTTCGGCTCTCCGACGAGCATGTTCCCACGCTCTTCTTGCCAAATCAGCATCAATCGTGCCGCCTAGTTCACCATTGGGGCCCGGTGTCGTTGCGGTGAGAGCAGTGTTTACCACTATACTTGTGGCAGCATCGAGTTGGTACGGTTGTCCGGAAAGGAAAAACGAATGAAGGGCATTAAGCAGAGTTGTCGTGGAGACTTGCTGTGCTTGCTGCGCAGCGGGGCGAGGTCCTAGAGCGGAGGACGCAGTAGAGTAAACCGACATGCGGTTCGCCATGTTTAACAAACCAGGCCGCTCCCTGGTGCCCCCCTTGAATTGGCTTGAATCAGGCAGCTTCTCTTCGGATAGGAACGAGGTGGGATCTCGAAATAGATGGTACAATAATCGACTCGTTATGTCGAAACTAGATTTCTCCCGCCAGCCAAGGATAAAGAGAGAACGGTGTTGGCGCGAGTTCGTCGTGAATGCTCATCAACGAAGCATTAAACGGCTTCGGGCTGCGATTTGAACGGTTCTCGACTCCTCAACAGCAAACACAACAAGCGAGGGTGGTTCGAATGGTAGAATAAGAAAGACCGCAAACTCTCCCTCCGCCAAATTAAGAAACGAAAGTGAAGAAAAGCAGCAAGTAGTGAACGAGAGACACGAGAGGGCGGAGAATAAGCAGACTTGTTGACGGTTGAGGTTGTCAAAGTGAGATCTGCTGGTCGAGAGATGTCTCACTCGGTTTGTTGTCGTCGTACCTGTATTACTCGTACGAAAGTTACGGTACTTAGTTTACATAAGCAGATGGACAGCGCATCTAAACTTCATGTGAATTTGGCATGTATTTCACAGAAATTGCTGTGGTTTTGTTCATGAGGATGTTGGCGACGATGAAGTGTTCGTTATCCTCCTTATCTCCCTTCCCGTCGTCGACTATCGTTGTTGAACTTCGAAAGTAATAGACCTCCAACACAGAGCCGTCAGCAACGTCGGCCCTGAGGCAAAGATATCTAAATATGGCAACAAAAAGTTCGTCGAGAAATCCATCGAAAAAGTAACACGGGTTGAACTCTGCATTATTCCGGAGCGCAAGTGGGCACATGAAAGTCTATGTTTCAGTTGCATCCAGTCCTCCATGGTTTGGGGGGCCTTCCATCACACCCTCCCAACCGCATGTCTCAAATCAGGCCATCCAAGCCTCACAGGAGATCCTGAACCAGGACCGTAATTCTTCAGAATTTTTCGCGGTTCAGTCTGATCATGGGGCATAACTTTCGTCAGTTTGAACGCCCGAAATTTCGATCGGAGGCGCTGAAACGCCTCCCTGGCGAATTCTGAGTGCCCTGGCTGACCTGATAGTGAAGAAAAAAGGGGCTTCGACGTGGATCACGTGAATATCCTTTTCTGTCATCGTACTCGCGTTGCGATTGGCTGCGGGAGTGGAGGCCGATCGGCGCTATTCCGAAACAGGAAGCGAGCGAGGCCAGGCGGGTGCACGGGCCAGGTCGAGGTTTGCGGTGGCGAAATTGAAGGCAATTGGCTGGCTGGAAGGGCCCCTGTTAGTGTCTGAGATGCCATGTCAGCAAGGAAAGGGAAAGAAAAAGTCGAAGAATTTTTCTCGACAGTTCGACGACATCCTATGTAAATAATGATTCAAAGAAAACAAACAGCGATAAGCAATAGTCGGTTGACGGTCAGGCCCTCCCAGCAACCTAATATAGAGCCAGCCAATACAATCAACGAGGCTCAGAAAAAACGTAACTTTCAACCGGCGTACCGCCTCGTATAGAATACCGGTATTGATACGTGTTTCAACAGTTGATGTCTTACTGTTTCTGTCCTTCTCCCAAGCCAACGACGCCCGATCGATTTCTCATCCAACGACATCACATCTTCCCGTCTTCTACGAGCAGAACCGCCTTCGTTATTTTCTCCTCGTAGCTTTTTGTTTAATTCACTCGTTACTACACGCTCTGCTTGCTTCGTTGAGCTAACTCGGAATCACCAGCTGCACCGCCGTTCGCTTACCGGTGTCTAGTGCCTGATCCCTCGGAGGGCTGGTTTTTTTAACTGCCGCCACCCTTTTTCGCATTCTTGCGTTCTATCGCTCATTTCCTCCGGGGGGCTAACAGGCTGTTTCTCGATTGAGCCCCGTATAATTGTCTGGTTCATGCCTGGAGACAGTTTGCTTGCTTAGATCTACGTCTCAACCCCAACCTGAACTGGCTACGTGCCAATTGATAATGGCGGCCAATCCGCTCGGGGCAGCTGCCCCTTCGCATGCCCAGTCCTCACTCCCGTCCCTGCCTCAGCATCTTCAAACGGACACCCAGTTGACCGCTCATCTTGCCAGTCGGTAAGCCGTGTCCCGTTGCCTGCTCTCCTCTTCTGTTGCCAGACGACGTCCCTACTGACCTTCGCGTTTGTTACTATAGGTTTCATGTCTCTCTTCCCACGGCTCGACTATCTTCCCACGCCCTAATATGCCTGAATACTTATACATCCTCTACAAGAGGGCCCGATGGGCTCAAGGAAGGAAGCGCCATGGGAGAAGCGGAAGATTTGGCTAAACGAGCTTGGACACGTCTTGGGTCAAGAGGCGAAAACCAAGCTGTTGTCTTTCTGTATGTCAGAATCTGATCCTCGCCGCATATTTGGCTTTCCCCCCCTGAAGTACAACAGCGTACTGACATTTTCAAGCGGTGAATCTGGCTCGGGCAAGACGACGATACGATCACACCTTCTATCTTCATTGCTTTCCTACTCGTCAACCCCATTATCTACGAAGCTATCCCTTGCCGCATTCGTGTTCGACACCCTGACAACCACAAAAACTGTCACCACTCCAACAGCATCCAAAGCCGGTTTGTTCTTCGAATTACAATATGACGGCTCCTCCACTGTAAATCCAACCCTCATTGGCGGAAAGCTTTTGGATCACCGGCTAGAAAGAAGTCGAATAGCGTCAGTTCCTACCGGAGAACGTAGCTTTCACGTTTTATATTACCTTTTGGCGGGTACAAGCCCAGCTGAAAGGACGCATTTGGGACTCGATAGCTCTGGCGAAGTTCTTTCGAGCGGACCCAACAAGCGGTCGTCAGGCCAGGCTGCACATAAACGCTGGCGGTATCTGGGCCATCCTACTCAGCTAAAAGTAGGTATTAACGACGCAGAAGGTTTCCAGCATTTCAAAACTGCTTTGCGCAAGCTGGAATTTCCCCGAAGCGAAATTGCGGAAATCTGCCAGATTCTTGCCAGTATCCTGCACATTGGCCAGCTCGAATTCACGACTGGTCAAGCAACGAGAACGGGCGCTGATGAGAGTGGTGGCTACTCACATGAGGGCGGCGAAACAGTCACAGTTGTCAAAAACAGGGACGTTCTCAGCATCCTTTCAGCTTTCCTCGGTTTAAGCGTAGATGAACTTGAGACCAGTCTAGGGTACAAGACAAAAACAATCCACAAGGAACGGGTGACCGTTATGCTTGATCCCAAGGGTGCTCGAGCAAATGCCGACGGATTTGCGCGAACGCTCTATGCCCTTCTTGTTGCCTACGTGATCGAGAACATTAACCAACGAGTTTGCGCTACTGAGGATGCCATTGCCAACACGATATCTATCGTTGACTTCCCTGGGTTTGCACAAGCATCCACAACCAATTCAACGTTGGATCAACTGTTGAATAATGCTGCAACTGAGTCTCTCTATCATTATTGCTTACAGAACTTCTTTGAACGCAAGGCAGATATGCTAGAAACGGAAGAAGTCAATGTCCCGGCGACAAGTTATTTTGATAACTCTGATGCTGTCAAAGGCCTTTTAAAACATGGCAACGGACTCCTCTCAATTCTGGACGATCAAACCAAACGCGCCCGGACGGACATGCAGTTTCTCGAAAGTATCCGGAAGCGATTTGAGAATAAAAACTCGGCCATCGCAGTTGGTAGCTCTACTGCAATTCTCCCTGGTAGTAACTTTGCTACACAAAATGCTGCAGCTGTCTTCACAGTGAAGCATTTTGCTGGAGAAGTTGATTATCCTGTTAAGGGTCTCATCGAGGAAAATGGTGACCTTGTATCCGGAGACCTACTAAACCTCCTTAACTCAACAAAGAGTGGCTTTGTCCGGGAGCTTTTTGGTCAAGAAGCCTTGCAAATGATCCGCCACCCGAAAGAGAAAAATGCTATCATGCAAGCCCAAGTCAGCTCAAAACCTCTAAGAATGCCCAGCATGGCACGACGGAAAATGAACAAAACTTCACAGATTTGCTTCTCTGGCATCTCAATCTGAACCGACGATACAGATGACGTGCCAGCACTCACGAGCCGAAAACGGCGATCAGTCAAGAAGGCGTCAACGTTGCGTCCAAAGCAGGGTGCAGCGGCCAATTCCTTGCCTCTCTAGACAATATCACTAAGTCTTTATCGGCTACAAATGTCAACCCATACTTCGTTTTCTGCCTCAAGCCCAATGATAGACGAATCGCCAATCAATTTGACAGCAAATGTGTTCGGACCCAAGTGCAAACGCTCGGGATCGCGGAAATCAGTCAGCGTCTCCGAAACGCTGATTTCTCAGTATTCTTACCGTTTGCTGAGTTTCTCGGGTTGGCGGAAGCTGAATCTGTTATCGTTGGCAGTGACAAGGAAAAGTCACAGCTCATCGTGGACGAAAAACGATGGCCAACAAACGAAGCCTGCATCGGAAGTACGGGCGTCTTCCTTAGTGAAAGGTGCTGGGCGGACCTAGCTAGAATTGGCGAGCGGGTTCATCCAAGTTACAGTGGGGGAGGCACTGATGATGGCAGAGATAACCTGCTACATGTTGGCGGCAACCTTAACGGTGATTCCAAAGTCCGCCTCCTACCTTCCGGAGATTCCACCCCTGGAGCATTTATCTACGGAGATGATAAGCAAGGCTATTTTGGGAGCCGAGAATTGGATGCCCGCTCCGACGCCGGCGCATCTGCGTTCAACTCAGGCGATATGTTTAAGAATCTGGAAACTCGGGAGCAAATGGCGGAGCGAAGCAATGAGAAACAGATGGTTGAAGTTGAGGATGTCATTGTCTCTGGAAGTCGCAAACGTTGGCTTGCGCTAGTCTACCTGCTCACTTTCTACGTTCCTGACTTTATGATCAGATTGGTCGGAAGAATGAAAAGGAAGGATGTCCGTATTGCCTGGCGTGAGAAGTTTGCCATCAATCTTCTTATCTGGTTGAGCTGTGGCTTTGTGGTTTTCGTCATTGTTTTGTTTCCACGCTTGATTTGTCCTACACAGCACGTTTATTCCGCTGCGGAACTTTCATCTCACGATGGGAAAGACAACCACGCCGCATATACAGCCATCCGCGGAGAGGTTTTTGACTTAGGGTCGTTCATACCTGCTCATTATCCAGGTATTGTTCCTGAGCAAAGTCTGCTAAAATACGCCGGCATTGATGCCACACATTTATTCCCCGTACAAGTCTCTGCTCTATGCAAGGGAAAAGGCGGTGACAAAAAGCGCATTGACCCTTCAGTATTATTCGACTTTACACCCACGAACATATCGGGTTCTGCGAGTGTTGTTCGTGGGAATGACCAGAACTTTCAATACCATGACTTCCGAGCCTTCACCAATGATACTCGTCCGACTTGGTACGCTCAAAAAATGCGATACCTACGAGCCAACTATAAAAAGGGGGAGCTTGGCTACACCATGCAGCACCTTAAAACCCTCTCTGAAAAGTCGCAGTACATAGCAGTTTTAAAAGGAACAGTCTATGACCTTACCAACTACATGGCTGGAGGTCGTTACACCAAAGGACCGGATGGCAAGCCGAAGCCTGGTGTCGATGTTGATTTCTTGGACTCGGGAGTTGTCCAACTGTTTCAGCAAAAGTCCGGACATGATATAACAGAGTTCTTCAACAGACTTCCTCTGAGTACCACGCAACGTTATGATATGGAAGTTTGCCTAAACAATCTCTTCAAGGTTGGGCAAGTAGACACCAGAAACTCGACACAATGCCTTTTCTCTCAATATTTTGTTCTTGCTATTTCAGCTCTACTTGCTAGTATCATTGGCTTCAAATTTCTGGCCGCATTGCAATTCGGAAGAAAAAACATCCCCGAAAATCTCGATAAATTCATCATTTGCCAGGTACCGGCCTATACCGAAGACGAAGAGTCTTTGCGCCGTGCAATGGATTCTATGGCTCGGATGAAATATGATGATAAGCGGAAACTGCTCGTGGTTATTTGCGATGGTATGATCATTGGACAAGGGAACGATCGACCCACACCTCGAATTGTTCTTGATATCCTTGGTGTCCCAGATACTGTTGACCCAGAACCATTGAGCTTCGAAAGCTTAGGAGAAGGTATGAGACAACACAACATGGGCAAAGTTTACTCTGGCCTATATGAAGTGCAAGGTCACATCGTTCCGTTTTTGGTGGTTGTCAAAGTTGGCAAGCCATCTGAAGTTTCTCGACCTGGTAACCGTGGAAAGCGTGACTCCCAAATGCTTTTGATGCGCTTCCTCAACCGTGTTCATTACAATGCACCAATGAGTCCTCTTGAATTGGAGATGCACCACCAAATTCGCAATATCATTGGAGTTAATCCAACGTTCTATGAATTTATCCTACAGGTCGATGCCGACACTGTCGTTGCTTCAGATTCCGCTACACGGATGGTGGCCTCTTTCCTGGCTGATACTAGAGTGATCGGGCTTTGTGGAGAGACGGCACTTAACAATGCTAAATCTTCAATGATTACTATGATTCAGGTTTACGAATACTGGATCTCTCACAATTTGACCAAAGCGTTCGAAAGTCTTTTCGGTTCCGTGACTTGCTTGCCTGGTTGTTTCACCATGTTCCGCATTCGTGCAGCTGATACAGGCAAGCCACTGTTTGTCAGCAAAGAGGTCGTGGATTCTTATGGAGAGATACGCGTTGATACCCTTCACATGAAGAATTTGCTCCATCTGGGAGAAGACCGTTACCTCACCACCTTGCTCCTGAAACATCACCCGAAATATAAGACCAAATATATTTTCAATGCCCATGCTTGGACCATCGCTCCTGACAGCTGGGCTGTCTTCTTGTCGCAACGCCGCAGATGGATCAATTCCACAGTCCACAACTTGATCGAGCTTATTCCTCTTCAGCAACTTTGCGGGTTTTGCTGCTTCAGTATGAGATTCGTTGTCTTCGTGGACCTCCTGAGTACAGTTATCCAACCAGTTACCGTCGCTTACGTTGTTTATCTCATCGTCCTCGTATCATTGAATCCTGGGCTGGTTCCGGTTACAGCGTTCATTCTACTCGGTGCAATTTACGGTCTACAAGGTCTGATTTTCATCCTCCGCCGTAAGTGGGAAATGGTTGGCTGGATGATTATTTACCTACTTGCCATGCCCTGTGTTTTCACTAGGTCTTCCTCTCTATGCGTTTTGGCATATGGATGACTTCACCTGGGGTAACACGCGTATTGTCACTGGCGAAAAAGGTCGTAAAATCGTTATCACGGACGAAGGAAAATTTGACCCTGCTTCCATCCCCAAGAAGAAGTGGGAAGAATATCAAGCCGAACTTTGGGAAGCTCAAACCCACCGTGATGACCAGTCAGAGGTGTCCGGATACTCCTATCGAACAAAATCATACCACCCAGCAATGTCAGAATACGGATACCCTGCTGCAAGACCAGCTTCTCAGCTCGACTATAACCGCCATTCTCGAATGTCGTTACCTGCCTCTGAACTCCTCGGTCGTAACTCGGATCTAGAATTGACAGACTTTTCTGGCCTTCCCACCGATGACGCATTATTGGCGGAAATCAGAGACATTCTGAGGACCGCTGATTTGATGACAGTTACGAAGAAGAGCGTCAAACAAGAGCTTGAACGGAGATTTAATATTAATCTTGATGCAAAGCGAGCTTATATTAATTCTGGTAAGGATACTTTCAGTTCAAAATCTTACCCCGTGTCCGCTGAAGCTAACCGAGTATATAGCGACCGAAGCGGTCCTTTCAGGCCAACTCTAAAAAAAGCTATTCGTTGCCGCGACTTCTCCGCGTTTCTTTTTCGACTCTCTGTTTCTTTCAGTATACATAATTTATAATACTGCCATTTTGTATAGGATCGTGTGATTTGAGTTGGCAAGTACAGATGCTCAAAATCCACCTTTCCCCAAATCTGGTTATACATATATTAATACTCCTCTGCGCGTTTGACTTTTCTTGAAGGTGTTTATACGGGCATTTTGTCTTATCTGCTAAAGATCTCGAACTGTCTCCTACATGAATTTCTCGGCCTCTGCTCTCTACTTGTGTTTGTTTTATGATCCTCTTTTTTTCTTGGTGGGACAATGGTTTCTATAGTAAAGCGGTTTTTTCCCATTTTGACGCAGTTTAAAAACTATGTGAGTGCTGCTGTTGCTTGTATGTGTAGTGGAAGGTGATCATATCTTTGCTCCTCTTCATTGTGATAATTCAACAAATTGCCAAAACCGCGATGCTATATGGCCTCTTGTCAACACTATGAACCAGTTTCCAGCCCATTTTTAAAGTCTGTCACCACCAGCTGCATTGTTTTTCAGCTAGGGACCTGACTGCTGTTAATCATTGGATGCAAATCATGGTGCCACTAGGACATGTATGCTTTTTCAATGGACGACCCGGGGATTCAGCAACTAGATTACTGGCAGTTTTATTTTCCATATTGTAAATGCACATTTAAAATAAAGTAAACATATTTTCAGCCGGAATGGAAATGAACACCACACAATCACAAACACGCTCCTTCTCTATCTTCTACTCCTGTACAACATACATTCTCTTCACCTGTTCAACCCAGCTACTCCTCTAAGGCCCATCCAAGTAGGCCCAAAGGAAACAAAAGAAGAAGAGAGGAGAAATCATTCATGCGAAGAAGAACATAAACCGTAATCATCCACATGGTATCATTTGCGGGACTTCAAAATAACTTTCAAAGGGTAAAGAGTTCAGACCGCCATCAACTATAGGAACATCAACCGTAGCACAAAAGCACATGTGGGCAAGTTAGAATCTTTGCATGTGGGGATGGATGGGTAGTTAATGAACGGTTTGTGGTGAAGTAAAAAAAAAAACAAATATCAGACAGAACGAATGAGCAACAACGCCAATTACTCCTGTTAGCAAAATAAACATGACTCTTTACCTCAACCCTACCGTCCTGGTGACCTTGATCTTAGCTGTAGACGTTGCTTTTCTGACTGACTTCAATTGGTATCATAAACGATTGCAAACTTGGTTAAAGGGGTATATTGCTGACAACTGATTTTTCCGAGAATAAAATCCGTGACTTTAACGAGGTGGCCCGATTGGGGCCGGGTATCCAGAAGTAGAATTGGAAGTACTAGGGCGACCGCTATCAAACGATGCGCGGAGATCGTGTCGCGGAGTCATATCTCCGGGCGCGGTACCGGTACCAAAGGGAAATGCACTATCAAAACGAGATGGCCACCCATTGCTAGAGTTAAAGATGTCCTCCTCTGGAAGATTTACGCCGGAATCATTCCAAGGATTACGATAACCGCTATCACGCGACTCCATAGAAACGAGGGATGCTTTAGAAGCATTACTGGATGCATGCTTGAAAAGCGAGCCAGGAGAACCAGAATGGTTCTTGCGACCGATAAACGACGAAAAAGAAGAAATACTACCAGGCTTACGGAGGCGCTCAAAAATCGAACCTCTATCACTGGCATCGTCGGGGAAGTTGGGGCGAGTGGGTGAGTCGGTAACAAGAGGAGCAGGGGCGTGTTGTAACAATTTTGAGTCAAAGAAAGGCAAAGACTCTTCAAAGGAATCTGACTTGGGACGGGGAATTGATCCCTTCACGGTCGTAGCATCAAGTCCGTGAGAGACGAGACGGGAAACAAGAAAATCGATGGCGTCCTTCAATCCACCGGCGTTGTTCCGTGTATAGCCAAGAACGAGTCTATCCTCTTGGGCGGGAGAATCAGTTCCTAGAGCCGGCTCTCCGGCTGTATCGACCGCTACGGCAACCTCATATTGATCTTTGAGTTTTTGCATGACCTCGACTGTGAACTCTGGAGTCTTGAAAAATTCTCGAAGTTGCTCAGAGCTACTGAAGGATATTTCATGAGTTTCAGGCACCATCCCCTAAGATTTGTCAGTACGATGACCCAAATCAACGTTGTAATAGGCCTGCTCTTACTAAAAAGGCGTCAACGGCTTGTGGGACTTGATACTCTGGTCCCGAGATAGTCACGAAATCACTTGCTGTTTCGGTGCTTGGAAAATCAATTTTGCAGTTCCATTTTTTCTCTAATTCATCGATATCCTTCATTCGAGAAATAAGCTCTCGGTGGTAGAGGCGGTTCACGAGTACAGTCTCAGAAACGAACTCGGCGTCCTAAAACTCCCGTAAGCTCGAGAAGATACCGATGACAGGATTTTGAACAACTCACAACTTTCTCGACCATATCCATGATTTCCTGCTTAACAAGTTCAAGGTTCTGAGCGTTCCGAGCAGGTGTACGGCATATCACGTTTTCAACTCTGATATCGTCATCATCCTTGCTAACGCCACCACGGTCCATCGCATTAGAAAATTTGACGAACACGGAGTATTTTTTCATGATACGCTGGATATGCTGGCCCCCGATACCGATGATGCGCTTGTGATATTGGTCGGGAACATGGAAGGAGATCGACGCTGGCATTTCTTGCTCCACCAAATCGAGGCCGTTCCTTGCTGCCTCATATTGCGTAGCGCATACATCAATATAAAAGTTATACTCGTTAAATCCGTCGAAGATGATTTGAACGTTGCCTACAAAAGTTAGTGGGGAACTAGGTTCATCAGTAGCAGTTATCGCTTACTTTGGCCCATGATCTTGTTGATCTTCCCGTTCTTCTTGCCACTGACAAATTCCTTATGCTCGTTTGCCAATTCAAGTTTCACGCGCATTTGGTACGGAGAGCGTTTAACAAACGGAATTTGGTGGATGACCATCATCGCTGCCTTGACAGCATCATCTGAGCCGTGGATCGTGAAGGTCAATTTATCGAAACTAACGTCGGCACCGGAGTTGGCACAAATATCGGACAACATGGTTCGGATATCAGATGGGGAGGGAGATCGCATCTGGGTTCCATTCTCTGGAAGAATAATCCACCAGGTTGCGCCGTAGAACTGACCAGCCTATATTAAACGTTAGCAGGCACAGCACAAAAGGCAAAGGGATGAAATTTACCAAAGCCATCAGCTCTCGGATGGTACGTTCGACATGTAGAATTTCGGTTCCTTGCACCCGGATCGTGTTGCGCTGACTGCCGAGTTGGGGGAAAAGAACATAGCACCCGTTTGCCTCCATGACCTTCCGAACTTTATCCAAACGATCAAGCAAGATACTATCTATTTTGGTTGGGGTGACAGAAACGTCCTTGACGTAGACTTTGACACCCCTAACCAGTTCATGTAACTTCTGTTTTGCTTTGGCAATCTGGTCTTGGCTAGTGCCGGTAATGTAAACTTCATCCTCGCTCCGCCTGTAGGCACCAGGTGGGGTATATCCATAGACACGGGGGAATGGCGGTGGAAAGTAGATGGCGGTATTTGTGGCAGCTTCAATAAGTTTGATGTTGCGGCGTGTGCGGCCACAAACCAAAGTATGCATTGTCAATTCAAGCTTCATCACATCAACCTGCCGTTTGAGCTATGAATTGTTAGTTGAAACCGAACAGAATTGCTAAATCTTGTGTTGCACGCAGAATGGAAACTTACAATCTGATCAATCATGATCAAGACTCTAGTTTTGGCGTGCTCTGAGCTCTCAACATCGCCATACATCGCGATTCTAAACCGATGATCGAGGCCATTCTCAGTCGAATACCCATATGAAGACACAATGGCGCTATCTGCATCAACGATTTTGGGGCTGAGCAAGAATATATCCACGCCAGTATAAGTTGCAAGGGTATTGAGATGATTCAAAACACTTTGCCGCATCGCGTTTGAACTCGGGTCCATGACAAGGTTCACATCGATATCGACTGTGGCACATCGCTAGAATTCTGGTGAGTAAAAGAAAGAGGGAAACAGCCTGAAAAAAAAAGTGATTGTCTAACATACCAGAGCAAAAGGGGTCTCTTTCAAGATTTTCGCCCGCATCTTCTGCACAAGATCATTTTCTCCAGAGATACAGACGTTGGTAACCAGCCCATGGGGTCTTCGCTGAAGCGAAGCTACTGCTTTGGGCTCTGTTGAAGTGACCGTGGCTTCAATCCGCCCTCCACTAGCTTCACTGATCTGGCGACACAATTTCCTCAGCGAGTCGACGTGATTTGCATGAACCGGAAGCTTGTGGGTTGGCGTCCCTTCCGGGGTTCCGTCAGGGTAGGTCCATCGCTGAAGGGCACCGGGGGTGGAATGCAAAACGTCATCTGGATCAGGACCTTGAAGGTTTGACGAGAAGGGCACATTGAAGGAGAGGTTTATTATGGAATCGACAGTGGGAGGGGTGGGTATGGTCGGCGGAACGGGTGGCCTGCGGAAGGGGTGGGAGCCGGCCATGTCGTGTTGGGGACGAGACATGCCAAAGGCCGGGGTCATCCGCTCCCAGCCATGACGGGCCTGACCGGTAAAATTGGAGATCTTGTGCATTGTGCCAGTTTGACGTGCGTGGTTCCGCTCCTCAGCGGCACAGGAGAGGCGGTGGACGAGGCGATCGGTACGGGCGGATGGTTTTTCGCAGGAGGGCGAGGGAGGACGAGAGCAGGCCCTGTGACCACGCCGACGGGGACCAGAAGGTAGGAACAGGCAGGAAACAGGCGAGACGGCGGCGGGAAAGAGAGGGCGTGTGGCGATGGAGAGTCGAAGCAATTAGCACCCGTCGCAGTGCAGGTGCTCGAGGGTGTTGTGCGGAGGGAACATTGAAGCAAGGTCTGGGCTGGGCTGAGGCTTTTAGCGGCCTTTTGCGATGACCTGAGCCTCTGGAAGTGCGCTATGCCGGATTGGGCCTAATGGCAAGGGCTTTGCCTGTTCGGGACGTGCACGGACCGCGTTTGGCTCAACCTCGACGACAGCAGAAGACGCAGGAGGTGGACATGTCGTGGGCAGAGGGAAGGGCGTTGCCCGGGCATTTATCATTTCCTCGGTGCCGCCGTTCTCTATCGTGCGTGAAAGTCTGGAATCAACTGTTGTGTTATGGTTTTGTTTGCACTTGATTCTTGACTGGATTGTGATGACGTTATCCATATTTTCGATAGGAGAAACACGGCTGAGCATCAAGCTCGGTCCAGCAGGTATATCGATTCCGGGAATATCCTGTGGATCACGGTTCTTTTCATATTGGCCCTCCCCACTGCGCTCTCAGAGACTTGAACAGGGGGTACCACCGTCCCTATTTCTCGCAGACTGTGATTTCCTCAGATAGAGTGCTAATCGGTTATAGGTGTACTTAGATGCCTTTCGGCCTCAAAAGTAACCTTTTTCTCCAGCTAATAATTCTGGCCTAACTTTACCCAGGTGGTCTCTCGGAATCCATGACTGTATCAGATCACACCCAATACAACTCTTTCCATGAACCTTCCTTTCCCAACCCTCCAGCTGCAAGAACTCTCAAGTCGCGGACCATGGCGGAAGGGGGATGATAGCTACATTGTGTCGGTTTTACCAGTTTATCCCACCCCTTAGACGCGAATATGGAAGTGCGAGAACGCACAGTGCGTCATCCTAGGCTCTTTTCGGACACCGTTCGCCCTCAGCCCATGTATCCTAACGATCGGCTATTGATGATGTGACTTCCAAGTAAAAGGAAGTCAAGTTATGGCCCATCAGACTGAGTCCACTGGATGCTGAGGCAAAGCTGGGTTGAGAAGCACTTGATATTTTTGAGGTCGCGATAGAATATCCACACAATTGAGCCATTTGGTTGACTACAAGGCTGCTTAGATTTCCCAGTAGTGATATGGTGGATTGTACTCTTTCTAGAGCCCAAGGATACAGTTGGTTCTCTAAGGATGAACTACCTATTTCACCATCACAGTGACATTCAGATTTCGGCAAAAAAGTAAAAGCCTTAGTAAGTCATCAAAGCTATTAATTGAACAGAGCTAAGTACGGAGCACTCAAGACAGTCTTCACTTGGACCGTAATATAAGGAAACAACATGTACATGGTGAAGTAAAATCCACAAAAGGCCTATCGGACACGGTGGCAGATCAAAAGTCTCCGACAGCACAATCCTATCAGAAGGTCAATCCAGAATGCAAAAGGGAAGATACCAAAAAGTGACGCAAATGCCTCAAACAATATGCATCTTGTCAATATCCATACAAAATAGAAATGCAGTTATAAAAAGCCATGGTTAGCCCGAATATTAGTATCTCCGAGAAACCCTTCGAACCACTCCTTGGCTACCTTCAAGCTCCATTTTCGCGGCATCTTCGTCGTCATAGTACCGCTCCGCCCTCACTTGCCGGGAGGCGGGGTAGTTGACTTGATTCATAGGCGCGTACTCGCGAGATTGATGAGGCTCGTCATCGATATATACGCTAACCTCTCGTCGAACAGGCCTAACACTCTGCATACGCATTGGCGGTTCTCCGGGAGCTTCGTAGCGGCTTGGAGGAGGTCGCACGCTCGACATCCTTACCAGCTCCTCTCTTGGATATGCTGTTTCTTCGACGTATGCCTGGTGTTGATGTGGATAATCAATCACTTGCACACTCGCGCCGCGCGGGATCCGTGGCCTATCATCTATTTCTCGCTCATAAATACCGTGGTCACTAGGCGCAACGCGTGCATACTCAGGAACGCGGCGGTATGTGACTGGTGGCGGAGGCATGTCCTGTACGTATCTTCGCTCTGGGTAGGGGTTTTCGATTACTGACACTGCTCGAACTGGCGCAGCACGAATAGGTGATCTCTCATCATATGGCTCAGCGTGTGCCAGGCGAGTAGATGGAGGGGCCATTCTCGATGAAGGTGCCAGAGATTCGTAATAACGATTCCCGTCGGCATCGATGACAATCCTTCGTTGCGGTGGAGGGGCCATAGATCGAGGTTCCGGATTTGTTTCTATATACTCTTGGCGAATTCTTGGGGAAGCTGGACGAACATTTGCAGCGTATGGTTTAGGATACGGTGCGATTTCATCATAGTACCTTGGTTTCTCTACTTCGACCGGCCTGTCCGCAATAGCGTAGGACGCGGCTCGCACATAACGCGGTGGAGCATCGGGGATGGGTTCGGGGTAATCATGGACATACTCGGATTGGCGTGCATGCTGCATTGTAGCTACCCGGCGAAGATCACGGTCCTCCCGAAGAGCTCTTCTAGCCGCTAATCTTGAGGATGAACGCGGGACATTGACTTCAGTAGCGCTATCCAGCTCGTAGGTTCGAGTCGGTCTCTCGTCAAAATGCCCGCCTCGGCCACCACCTTCACGTCGATCGCTAACAGGGGTGTAATGGGGGGAATCAAGTTCAATATAAGTACTCCCACCTTGAGGAATGCGCGTTCTCACATATGCCGGGGACGGTACCTCGATGAATGGAGGTGGAGACATGGGTTCGGGCTTAATATGAGGCATCTCAGGTGAGAGTTCGTGTCTTCTCTCATCCGCAAAACGAGCATTATCTTTAAACTCTTGATCACGTCGGCGCTTACGAGGCACTAACGGCTGCACTGGTGGCTCAGGGCTTGTGCGCGCTGATGCTTGGGCAGCCAATTTCTTCTCGATCTTTCGCTGACGACGGTTTTGTCTTGGGAAACCGGGAGCCTTGGAGACTGCAAGGGGTGAGACCCTTGACGGTTGGGGCGCGGCGGGAGAAGTAATATGGTTTCTGACGACTCTCACATCCTGCATTGGATATTGATGCTCTTGTTCTGACCGAGAAGGTCTACGGAAAGGTTGCCCAACATTGGCACGTTCTGGTGCAGGGATATGAGGTCTATCTCGCCTAGTCTCCACCACATTTGGGCCAGGCGGTGAGTATTCCGGTTCTTCAAAAGTCTCTGGCTCTTCCCGATTCTTTTGACTGCTTGATATGACAGTTTGGACGGGGGTATTATCCGTACTTCTTGTAGGCATGTCTTTGTCCCCTGCTTCAAACGAAGCAGGTTGTGATTGCAAGTTTACCATGGATCGAATCCCCTTCTCCATATATCGGGGCCCACCATTATCACGAGCTACATAAGTATCAGCGACCGCATCGTCAATGACCATCGGTTGGGGCTGTCGTCCGGCAATCGGCGATGCCACAACTGGCTCGTTCTGGGGCGAATCAGGGGCTTTACTCGAATAGAAAGAATTCTCATCAAAGGAATCACTGGCTGCGATATTCCCATTAGCCCCTTCTGTGTCAATCTCTGAAATAGGCTTAGAAAGTTCCAATGCTTTTCCAAAAACCTCTGCAATATCGAAATCAGGGTTTAACTCCTGCGGCAAAGGTTTTGTTCTAGCTTCTGTCCTCCTCTGTTCCACCTGGTCCCGCAGAGCCCGTTCAATCCTTTGGCGCTGTAACTGTATCTCCGCTCTGATAAGGTCATCAGATTTAGTCAAAAAGATGGGGTCAATTTCTGATGCTGGCTTCGTAGAAGTAGTAGCCGTAGATGCGGCCACGAGACTACCTGTAGAAGGAGCACTAGTGCCAGTTACCGTTGTCACTGCCATTGCCATTGCAGGTTCACTCCCTGAAGGGGACTTTTGTGTGCTGGATGACATTTGGCTCTCCTTTTGCTGTGCGGTCGTGGCCGAATCTGGTGGCCCGGAGGGAGTAGTAGGGATTGAGGGACTTTGCAGGGATCGAGGAGTGAAGTTGCGAATAACATGCTGAGGGACCTTCAACCTAGGATGGCTCCCAGAGAATATCTGGTCCCTAATGTTTAGGATCTTCTCGTACTCAAAGATCTCTTTGGAAGCCGGGAGTGATCCGCCATGGCCATTCTCGGGCTTCCGGCCCAACTCTGAAGCAATCATTGGTGGCTGGCCTGCTGTGCTGGTTAACAATTTTCACAGGTAGCTAAATGTCTGCATCACCCTAGCTTGCGCTGATGTGAAAGAGACAACCGAGTTATGTTCTCACGTTGAGGGTGTTGGCGAAATTCAATTGTTGTCAACGAGCAAAACTATCATTTTGCGTGTGCAGCCAGCACATCCGCACTAAACTAGATTAGTGTTAGCAGCGCGATTTGACCCCCTGAGCAACCCCGAGTCCAGTGTTATATCCACTATACGCAGTGTTAAACACACGGGTACCTGGTTGTATTTCGCTGTCTTGTTTCGGTATCAGCCTGTATGAACTCAAATATACACGTATCACAAGTACAATACTTCTGTTTTGGGACGTGTCCAAAGAAGCGCTGGTGTCATCCGCAACATTGAGTCAGAGCCAGGAGCCACGACGGATTGAATCATTGAGAGCACACAAAGCCAACACTGAACATGTCTTTCGTCTTGGAGCTTGGACCTAACACCTTCACTTCTGCCATATAACCAAACCTCTTGGAGAGCCTAGCCTTGCTGCCCGCATCTGCCCCGTACACGCATAATGGACCACCAGTGTTGGAGGGGTAGCGATGATTCGCGGCCGGTCTTCTTCTTTGACATTGACAATTGTGTACGTGCGGGCATATTGAACAGAAGCCATTGCCGGACTGTATTTGTTAATTGGAAATGATGCTGCATGATATTCGTTCCAAAACTAACAAAATTTCCATATTTCTTGAGTTCAGCTCTATTCTCGGGGTAAGTCATTGGATCTATGCTCTCAATGACAATCCGTAGCTAATGACTTTCCTTGCGGCTAGATAGCAAAATCCATGACCTGATGCAAGAGCTCATTGGTTTGTAACCTAAGATGCTTTAGCTGGAAAAAGCAAGCTCCTGACCCGCCAATATCAGACCAATTCTTTGCCAAACACCTGTCTCTCAATATCGAAGATGCCATCATGCTGCATCATAAATACTACAAGGAGTATGGCCTGGCTATAGAAGGATTGACACGCCATCATAAAATCGATCCGTTGGAATTCAACAGCGGGGTGGACGATGCTCTACCCCTCGATTCCATTCTAAAGGTTGACCCGGCACTCCGTCGATTCCTAGAAGATTTTGACAAGTCAAAGGTCAAATTATGGTTGTTTACGAATGCTTATATCAATCATGGCACACGAGTGGTTAGATTGCTTGGTGTAGAGGATCTCTTTGAAGGGATCACCTACTGTGACTATGCTAACCCTCCGCTCATCTGTAAACCACATACTTTGATGTATGAGAAAGCTGAGAAGGAGGCGAAAGCACCAGGGATTGATAAATGTTTTTTTGTTGGTGAGCATTGTAATCTCCAAACTCTCCCACTGTGCTTGCCTGTGGGATGTACGCGGGCTGTTAATCAATGTCTCATAGATGATTCACAATTGAATTGTCGGCATGCACAAGCTCGCGGTTGGACTACAGTCCACTTCGTTGAGCCTAAGCTTTCTGTTCCACCGAGCCCGGCCTCGAAATATATGATCAGACATCTCGAAGAGTTACGCGACCTTTTCCCCCAATTTTTCAAGTCTAGGAACTCCGTCAACCCTGCATGACGAGGCATTTTCTTTGATGTTGATGGGACCTACTTAGTACATGACATTGCATGATAGAATTTAATGATAGACATCTAAGTTGTGTTATCTTTTCTTTCTCAGCGGGTAGCATTGGTTAATCATAATCCGCAAGCAAATACTCCGTACTCCACCAAGGTTCTCCTGGTGTACAAGTGCAATAATATTCAAGAGCAATTACCCGCGCTCGCGCCCACACTTGTGTGGGCGCGAGCGCGGGTAATTAGACCGTTAGTATCTAATTTATATCTCCATTCGTGTCATTCAAAATCGAAATATCTAAGAGGCAAGGTCATTTGAATATTTACTCAGAACTAGAAGCCGAAAATGGTAGCGGTCTTGGATTCCCGAACCCATCACACGGAGCAAAACGCCACGAGCCCGCATGAGGCCATTTGAATATATATTTCGCTAGATATGGTACGAATGCCGGGAACTTCGGAAAGGTGATGTGTTCCCCGTCCAGTACAAACGTTTTGTCTATGCATGATAGCGCCATCATCCCGGTTCTGCGGTGACAAGTCAGTATATGACACCCGGCTGATGTATCGAAATCCGGGATTAGGTATACCTTGACTGCACTAAACCGGCCTCTGCCTTTTTCGACACGAATTCCCACGCCCCCATCAATGCTTTGGTATCATATTGGCCAAGGTCGAGAAGGGTAGGGATCTCCGCGTGTAGGTGTTTCTCCAGAACAGGTCCTAAAATTTCAAGTATTCCTTTCAATGTTTCCCCGTCGTAACTGCTCGCATCGGTGTTGAAAACATATTCAGAAAGTTTGTGGAGACCTCCTTCAAAGTCTTTATGCTCCTGGATGTTTTGATCCATGATGCCTTTGACGCCCGTGATCTGTTCGAGCCTCGGAAACATATACTCTTCTTCAATATGGTGATGGTGTGTAATGCTTTCGTACATGATCTGATTGAAGATTAGAAAGTCGGCAGCCTCCTTGGTTCCCTTTTTCACGCGGAGACACTGGTTATAGGAGGCATTGAAGGATCTGAGAAGCAGGTTATGCAAGCAAGCCATGTTCCGCGCAAAGTGGATGGCACCATGGTTAGGAGGGATATCCGACCGACTCTGGAACCCGGTATCGGCAATCAAAGATAGAGGAGTGTCAGCCCAAGGTTCCGGCATACTGAGGCAGAATCCGAACGAAAGTGGAAAAGATGGTCGAGGAAGGAATGATAGCAATCAATGGGCGTTCAATCAATGTTTGAAAAATACGAAGTACAACAAGAAGCAAGGCTCTCACAGATTAACTTATTAAACAGTTAAATACACAGATGAATTGAGCTATGCCAATCGCCATAGCCCCTTTAGATATACTCTCAGCCATGATGGGCCGTTTGCTGGGAAATGTCTTGCCCAATAATAACATGCCTCGTTGTCCACTTCGCAGTTTAAACTAAAGATAACGGACAGAGTCTCAGATTTGAAAGACATCTGATTTGTTGAAAACACCTCTAAACTTCATGTTGTCAATGCATCAAGCTTCGAGGCCTCAGCCTTGGACCGTCGTTGCTAGGCGAGAAGTTTAGCTAACAAGGGAAGTTCGTATTCCAAGCCAGCCGATCAGAAGCAGATCTTGCGCTGGGAGACCAGCATAAACACAGAGATGGGATGCTTTTAATATCTGTTGATAATTACCAGTTTTCACAGTCGCTCTCCTTTACACGTTTGATGCAGTTCTCCCGCTGAAGAACACGGAGGACAAAAGTGGCTTAGTGGCATCACATGACCTTGTCAAAGCGCTAGTCTATATTGGGCTTAGCGGGCTCGATCAGCTGTTTTGTTGTCGCGCAACCGGCGACGTCTCAATGCTTTGAGCTCGAACCGACGCGCGCGCTGTGATTTTTGCGCTGAGAGTCGTAACGATGGCGGGCTACGTTGCTGGCCAAGTGATTAGCCTGCCGGACGGCCGACGCGCCATCATTCGTTTTGTTGGAGCAACGCATTTCGCCCCTGGAGAATGGATAGGGGTCGAGTTGGAAGAGCCAACGGGGAAAAATAACGGAGCTGTGCAGGGAGAGCGGTACTTCGATTGCGAACAGAACTATGGAATGTTTATTCGTCCCACCGCCGTTACTGCAGTTCTCGAGCAGCCACCTAGAAAAGAAGATGTGCGGCCCGGGCCAAAAGCTGCGCAACAGGAGCTTAGGGGCCGGGCTTCCAGCACGACCGGAGGCAGTACCATCGGGGCTAGAAGGCAGAGTGTACTATCTACAGCGGCAGCGAAACGACAGAGCTCGAATACTAGTAGTCCGTCACCCGCCTCTAAGGCTGCACTTCAAAGTCGCTCATTGCGAGTAAGTGGTGTTTGTCCTCATTTGTCATCGTAGAGATGATGCCTGACACTGACACTGTTCAGTCACCGACAAAGTCCCCTGTAAAGCAACTATCAGAAAGATCGGCTACTCTGTCGCGCGCGGTTACCTCGACGTCCAAGCCCCCTCTTACCACTCCCAGAGGTAAGCCAAGTTTATCGAACCGTGCGTCGATGCCTCCGCCTTCTTCCGCGTCCGCTGGTTTGAAAGGATCGCGACAATCAGCATTAGCGACTCCCAACAGGCTATCCAAGCTCGGACTCCAGGCCCGTTCAACCGCCGCATCCCCTGCAAGACGAGTTTCCCTGAGACCAACAGGAGCAAAATCGTCAACTCCCGAGAGCTCCCGGAGCTCTCCAAGCGAACGTAACGAAGGTTCTGTGAAAATCGACTCTTCGTATCTCAATACACAGCATGAGCCTTCTCAATCACCAGGCGCGTCGCCGCTCTCCCTATCCCCCAGCGCACATCGCCGGTCCATCTCCAACAGCAGCTCAGTCGCTAAGGAGCTTGAAGACTTAAAGGCCAAACTACGAGTTATGGAAAAGAAGCGCACAGAGGATCGGGAGAAAATGAAAGCGCTCGAGACAATACAAGCTGAAAAGGAAAAATATGAAGGAATTATTCAAAAACTGCAAGCGAAATACCAGCCTCAACAGCAGGAAATTGCACACCTCCGCAGACAATTGAAGGAAGCCGAAGCAAGAGTTGAAGATGTTGAAAGACTTCAGGCTGAACATGATTCGATCCTGGAGATGGCTGCTTTGGATCGAGAAATGGCCGAGGAAGTGGCCGAGGCCATAAAAGCGGAATATGAGGCTTTGAAGCTTAAAGCTGAGGAACTGGAGTTGGAAGTAGAAGTTCTGAGAGAAGAAAACCAGGAATTAGGCCAAATAACAAGCCCAGAAGAAAAATCCAGCCAAGGATGGCTACAAATGGAGAGAACAAACGAGAGGCTACGTGAAGCTCTGATACGACTTCGGGATGTGACTCAGCAGCAAGAATCAGATCTGAAGAGTCAGATTAAAGAGTTGGAAGAAGATTTGGAAGGTTTCAATGCGCTAAAGGCAAAGTACGAAAGCACAAGGGAGCAGTTGATGGTCACGGAATCGAATATGGAAGAATTGAAGCAGCAGATAGAAGCTCTTGGTGCTGAAGAAATGATCGAGGAGCTCTCGGAGAAGAATATGCAGTACCAAGAGCAAATCAGCGAGTTAAAGGCTGCAATAGATGACCTGGAAAATCTGAAAGAATTGAGTGATGAGCTCGAAATCACTCACGTGGAGACGGAAAAACAACTTCAGGATGAACTTGATTACCGCGACAGCATCCATCACGAGCAAAACCGCAAAATCGCCCATCAAGACGAGGTCATTGAGGATCTAGAGTACACATTGTCCAAATTTAGAGAACTGGTAACCAACCTCCAAAGTGACCTGGAAGATATGCGCGTTTCTCAGCAAATTTCGGAGACGGAGGCGAACGATTTGTCTGTTCGTTCAAGAGCGATGTTGGACTTGAATATGAAACTTCAGGCTTCCGCCGCCAAAACGCAGGTGAAGACGATTGACCTTGAGCTTGGTCGGATGGAGGCCGAAGAATCAGCCCAGCATCTAGCCATCATGAAAGAATATCTGCCAGACTACTTTGAGTCTGAAAGGAGCCCCGTTTTAGCTCTTCTTCGTTTTAAAAGGGTTGGCTTCAAGGCTTCACTAATGAGCAATATTGTACGTGAGAGATTAGCAGATCTTTCCTCGGCTAGCTCATTGGAACTGGACAGTTTTGTTCCATATGATCTTCTTGAGAAGCTCACATGGATATCCCTTTTGTGCGACCGATTTGTAAATTTCGCGCAGAGTTGTTCAGCTGAGAATTTTGCAAAGCTTGAAGGCGCACTCTATGAGCTCGATCCTGTTGAGCGTATCATGAATGCTTCCATTGAGAGCTTGAAGAAGAGCGAATTGAATGAGAAAAGATGTGCGGAAGAACTTCAGCGCTCCGTTGCGCTGCTTTCTCACCTTGCCGAGTCCCTCATTTCTTCACATACTGCCGCCTGTGCGGACGAGCTCTATATGCGATGTGTTCTTACGCAGACATACATGGAAACTGCGGCCTCATCCATGTCCCATTTAAAGCTGGCACTGCAGACAAAGTTGACCGTCAATGAAGGCGACAAGGAAGGGCCATTTTTATTTCAAAAGATCGATGCTATCGCCGGGCAAGCAAGGGGTTCTAAAGTCGTTGCGGGGAAAATCACTCGCTCACTTGATGAATTGAGGTTAAGTTCACTGTCTTTACCGGAAGCATCTGCGGAGCTTTTTGAGAAGACAGAGGAAGCCGCAAAGGAAATATCTGAAATTGCAAGATTATTGGGAGAGAATATACTCCCAATTATTACTGAAGAGGGCCGCGCGGAACCTTTTACATACGCAGAGATTGCTAATTCCATGACTCAAACTGTTGCCACTGTTTGTCAACCGTCTACGCCTCAGTCGGACATTAACGATGCTCTTTCTTTCCTTGCAAACAAAATCCGATCACTCGGAACCTATCTAGAGGAAGCTGGCTCCGCCTCTTCGGATCTATCCCAGACCATTGAATTCGAGCGCCATGCAGCACCGTGGATATCGCGTGCCAAAGAACTAAAATCTAGCCAAACTGTGTCGCCGGATACCGAAGAGGAGGTTCGTCGCCTGAGAAACGAGCTCAATGAAGCGTCTAAAGTACTAGGTCTCAAAGATAAGGGTTTTGAAGAACAAACACTGAAGATTGAGCTCTTGGAGTCTCGAATGCGCGAAGCCGGAAAGAAAGCCGGATTAGTGAAAGAGTTGGAGTCCAAACTCGAAGCCGCGCATTCTAAAGAAGCGGAATTACTAGATATTATGGACCGACAGGCGAGAGAAATCCAAAACGCTGAAAAAGAGCGCGACGAGTACAGGAGCAAGTTGGAGAAATTGAAACGGGTTTCTGGCTCGGACGGAAGCTCGGCTGGCCCAGACGGAATGGTACCTGCCAATGCTGCTGCATCCCTATTTGTCATGCGGGAGAACGATGCTCTCCGTGCAGAAGTGGCAAGCCTCCAAGCCGCGGTCCGCTTCCTCCGTGACGATAATCGACGAGCGCGCCTCCTCGACCCTTACTCGGTCCAAAGAGCAAACCATCTTCAATCCTGGCTTGACACGCCCCTCGTCCGCTCAAAGGTGCACATCAAAATGAGTCTGTTGAGCGTTTAACAAGCTACGAGGGCCAAGACGTTCTCAATCACCTTGTTAAAATTAACCAGGGAATCCAAGCTCGTCGACCTCAAAGCTAGTCTTCCAGCGGATGGCTCCAATCGCTTAGCCTGGAAGCCTGTCAAATCCACGGTGCGTTACAACGTGATTAGACAGCGAGAGCAGTACGAGCAATGGAGTCAATGGAAAGATGAGGTCGCGCATCAAGAACGGACACGAGAACGGAAAGAAAAAAGGAAACTGAATCCTGGCCTGAACACTCTCAGGAACCATCACAACGTTTCTTCCCCAGAGAACGGCAGGGACCCCGTGGCCTCGGGCAATACGGGAGTTATGGGCCGCGCATGGAAGATGCTTGGAATGCAGAAAGAGAAAATCCCACCAGATGCAGTGCTGCACGGTTTACCCGCCCACGTGGAGATTGTGGATGAATAGATTTTTCCATGCTGAAAACTTTGTATTATTATTATATATTTGGAGCAATATACCCATGCTTATATTTTTCTCTTCGTTAGGCGACACATTTTAGCGGTTCTGGACAGATTATTGTTTCATTGCTGGATATCATGCTAGATACCCTGGAGCATGTTGTTGTATGATACCACTTAGCGAAGAAAATCATACGGTTCTTTAGCACTCCGCCGGCAGAGCGCCTGAGCTGTACACGGTCATCGTCATCTAATTCGAAGACATAGAAAGAACAGTCCTAGAGGATCAATTGACATGAGGAACTGACCAAGTCCACTTCACTATCCTGGGTCCTTGAGTTTCGTGTCCGGGACGTCACATTCCCCTGAATTGCCCGCACTGAACAGGGATTCTCGCATCCACGAAGCTTGTCCTCCACGAGGGGTTCCTGGAATTCCTGCAGGCCGGGTCAGTCTGCAGTCAAAATCGTCCTGTTTGAGTTGAAGCACAGGTCACCAGACGAGGGCTGCGCGCAATCAAACAATCTCCTTTGGGTGTATATTTTTATCTCGCTCAACCGCGGTTTGGTTTGAGACAATCCCGACAACCCGTCTAATTTAAACCGATTGACTAGTTCGGTAGGCGTTGGCGACGGGATGGCCGCGCAAAGGGCGGGACGGTGATCTTCGGAGGGCTGGCGTGCTTTTCCCCCATCTTCCCCTCTTTTTTGCCAACTCCGTATGCGCATCCTGAAACTTGTAGCGATGGATGCGCAGATGGATGATTTGGATATTTTCCATGTGACGTTTTGTATTTTATCCTAAGATGGCATCGATGTGCTCAAAAGAAGACGAATGGGAAATGTGAGACATGCTTAGCACTGTTTCTTGGCAGATATCGGCATCAGTACATAGACTGACGATGAGAGCCCGCTGATCGCTGAGAGTTGGAAGTAAGAAACGAAGTTGATTTCTAGAATAGGTACGGAGTAGTCGACCATTAAATACTAACCCCCATACAGCAGTATATCCATCTTCATGCCTCCAGAGTCGAACCCGAACAAAACGTAGCAGGCACGCCGGGGATATTGGGTATCGAAAACTGAAAGCATGTAGTAATAGTATATAGTTAGCCCGTAGGGGCGGAGAAACGCAACTAAATAACGGGTAAAAAGAAAATATCAACAGAGTAAAACCAGCCCTGAACGCTTTTCATTAAATCCAACCTTCATATCGACCTGATTATCGTATCTCTGTACGTCGTTAAAAGGCGACGCCGATATCGTTCGTACTAAATATTCTAGTTGGGGAGTTTGGCGACGATGGGCTAAAGTGATATTGTTCACTTTCGTATATTGTCGGATACACTTCATCGCAACGCGGCGCCTGCGTTCTGCTTTTCAGAACCTGATCGATTGCGAATTCATACTCCTTATCGTTGAGTTGCGTAAACGGCGATGGCTGGTACAGGGTGCTAGCTGAAGTCATAGAGCTTGCAAGCGAGTGTGACCTTCGAGAAGCTGCCGTAACGTGGTAGCTGAAGAACGGTGGAGCTGCTGATCTGGCGGATCGTTTGTCGTATGTTCGACGCTTGGAGGTACTGGTAGATTGAGTTTGAGTCGTCGTGAGTCATGAGCCAGTGTACAAGGGAGTCGGAACGAGGAGGAGGCGGAGTTTCAGGAATTATCGACATCTCCGTATCTGACAAAGGTGACGATGGAGCAGGGGAGTAGAGCGAATTGGCGTGACCCAGAGATGGCGTCGTCTCGTTGAAATTGGGTTTAGTAGGCGACAAGGGACTCGTGACTGGTGAACTTTGCGTTCGGCTATGAAGTGCACCCCGTCGACTATTGATCCTGCTTATTGAGGAGGAAGCCATGCGTTGCGATAGCCCTGAGTCGGAAAGTGTACTGCGGTGCCCAAGAAAATCGTCCTGGTCACCGATACTAGATAACCTGGTTCTCGGAGAACCAACTGGTTTGCGAGGAACACTAAATGTCGAAGGAGTGTCGGAATAGCGGCGGTGATGAGACTTAAAAGTCGGAGACCATATTGCCCTGGGAGGGACCTGTGGACCATCAAGGTCGAAGTCGCTGAATTCAGGTAAATCTGGAAGATGGTTTCCAGGTGCATATATGCTTAATTCCAAAGGTCGAAAAGAGAGACGTCGATTAGTTGGCTGTGTAACTCGCCTGAAATTCGTTGGCGCGCTGATACTGCGTATTTTCGAACGCCTGTTTCGGGTCATCGTCCTGCTCAGCAGGCTCTTCCGTGTATTTGACTTGGACGCGAGGTCCCTGCCCTCCGTTATCCACTTGGACATGCTTAGAGAGGGCGGATATGCATCATTTGGACTGGGCAAGTCGTCGTAGATAACCAGTTTCATCGGCGGGATTGTTTGGGGCTGCTGGTTATTGTTGTAGATTGAAACGACTCGCTCCACGCCTGCCATGGAGTCAGTGGGGGCTTATATCTGGCTGATATATCAGTGCGCACGTACCTGGCGGTGGCTCCCGATGAGGACGAGGGCTCTTCTCATTTTCAGGCCAAACGCACGACAAGCAAGATGCTGTCCATTCCCTCAAGGCTGAGCCTACCCACTCCATCAACGACCACTATGTTTAACGGGCCGGTTCCATGGCAATTGAGCCAGGTAGCCTCGCCCCTCAAAATGTCGAGATAGTAGAGGTAAGGACCCAAAACAAGTGGAAGAGAAGAGAGGCAAGACGAAAGCAGGAGCCAGTCAAGGATATAAACCTCTGTCCAGTTCGCAAGACTAGGATCCTCCTATCATGTCAACGGGGTGTCATGGGTCTTCCACGTTGGCCATCGAAGGTCAGGAATAGCAACCCCGAGATCGCAAAAGAGCTAATAGTGGGGGGTCTCAGCCGTGAAGACTCTAGGGTGAGGTGTTGGCCATCATTTGCAGATGCAGCCACCGGCCAATTGCGGAGCTCAACACGGCACCCCAAGAGCCATTCGTGTGTCGAACAGACTCTGTGACCATCTGCGAGTATCTGTGACGGGCGACTAATGCGGGCTTCTGAATGGTGATGGCGATGTGTCGAGTGGGCTTTGTTTAGCGTAGCCCCCATCTATCATCGTCGATTGGCTCTCATGCAAGTGCTCCGAAGTGATGGCCATGCAAGTCCGACGTAACCCATGCGAAACAGCTTGGCCATTCAGAGCTGCGAGTGTTGCAAGCTTGATTCCACCCAGGGATTTCCGGGATCTCGAGCTGCTCAAGTCATAGTTCGTTGTTTAATGAAAGGATTGAGGTCTTCGATCACCTCAGCGCCTAAGGGAGCGTCCCAGAGACTTCGCAGTGTGTCATCGCCAGGGGTGATCTCGTTTGAGCGCACCTCTCAGGAAGCGGTGCCATCAACCCTGGTTTCACCTCGATCCTGGCACAAGGGACCGGATCCCAAGAATTCGGTGCTCACATGGGACTTGGTCAAATTATCGGAAGCCTGAAGGGTCAAGGGTCCTCCGCTAATTTTGGTGTCAATCATTTCGCCAGTCAGGCACCGTAGTCACACCGGCTCTGAATGATGAAACCCAAAAGGCCATGCGGCAAAAATACTTAGACGCTATCCGAAGTTTGAAAATGTTATTTCCATAAATCCTAAAAGACGCCCTGCTCGCTGAAAAGGGTGATATATGCCAATTGTCACAGCAAAAATAGAACGTCCCAATTATTTAGATCAAGTTTGAGAAGAAGCCGCATGTCGCACATTAGCCTAGCCCCAAGGATTCTGCTCTTCGTTGAAAACGCCATCTCCCATATGCCTCAAGAGCCGCTGCCTTTCATCTTGCGAATCAGTGTCATCGTCGGCAGGAGGCGACCCTTCCGGCCTGGTCTCGGTGTACTGGGTGCTTTGGGGGTCTGTGGTGCTGCTGGAAGACCGGCTTCTAGAAAGAGAATACATCAATACAAGACAAAAGAACTGGAAACTGCACCAACTTACATCAATCGTGATTCAAGCAGATGGTTTGGCTCTTGGCCTACAGCATGGGCCCTTTCCCTCTCCTTCACAGCTCCATCAACGTCCTCTACAATGTCAACTAGCTGGTCGTTTGTTGGATGCGATTTGCTTGACGAGCTAGAATCGCTCAGTTGCCGGCTTGATTTCGACGTTTTAGACTTTTTAGAGCCCCCTTCAGCAACTGAGCTACCAGGGACATCGTTTTGACTCTGAACACGCCTGCTTCGATGCCGTGATGATTTCTTGACTTGGTCTCCTTCAGATGTACGTCTGAATGTAGACGATGCCGCTGATCTCGTCCGCGACGGCAATATTTGATCCCTGGGAACCTCATTTGCTGTGATAACGGGGTACTACAGGAGGTATTAGCTGCCCTGATCGGATTCGCACCGTTCGGTCGTACTCACATTCCAGTCTCCAAATTCCAGTGCCCGTGCATTTGTAAACAGTCTTTCGTCGTCATCATCAAGTGTGATTTCTTCGATATCTGTATAAGATTGGCGAACATCGTTCCTACTGTTGGTTCTTGACCAGTTCTGAGAAGTTCGTCGACTGGATGTCGGGGGGTCCAACAATGGGGTCCTGCTATTCACTTCTCCTGGTTTAGGAATCCAGTATTTAGCCTTCCCGCCTCGCTCATATCTCATTCCATCCATTACTCGAGCCACACGGGAGTGTGATTCTTCATGGGCGATAACGTTATCGCCAGAGTCAAATTTTCTGTACTGATAGTTCTCTCCCCGAAACGTTTCCTTCGAATCTTGAATAAGATCCTTTATTCCAAACGCATCTCGAATTGCGTATTTAATCTGCATCCGCGCAGCCGATACCGTCGGGTCGGCATAATCGTGCCAGGCAAAAGCATACCAGTGAAACACTGCGAATATAGGCATTTCAAAACAGATCAAGCTATCTTGAATTGCTGCGGCCAGGTTATCTGGCGTATAACCCGGGGGCCCATTCGATAATGCCCCCAGCCACTGAAGAATCGACAGGAAAAAGCCCTGCCAATAGGAAGCGAAAATGACAAGTTTTACGCAAAGGAATTTGGGCACAGGCCGAAATGGTTTGAGATCGTTATGCATGCAGACCCAGAAAAGCGCCAACGAATAGAGACTAACCGTCACACTGATATTATACACAATTCCGGTCCAAAGATACCCGGAAGATACACCAAGGTAGCCTTCTTGGTACGTGCCTGTCGCTTTCATAATTATGGCGATGAGCGTGAGGATCGGTTTTAGCCACACGTACTGCAGGATACCACGTTTGATTGCGAGGAACGAATACGGATCAGATATGTCCACCTTCGGAAGACATTTATTAAGTGGCCATGTATGTTGCACTGGCGGGCGGCCATGGGTCATGATAATAAGCGCACGTTCACCACCAAGAAAATTGATAAGCAGTTGGAAGAACGTATAAATCGTGAACGCCTGGGAGCTTAGGTCAGAGGAACGCACTAATCACAACAACGGGAGCTTCACCTCATAGATATCTCGAACCGGAGCAATCCACGACGAGGCTTTCAGCGAGACTATGCTTGTCCAGGATGACACTGAATATATTGGGACCCTAAAGGTATCAGGATGTTTCGTAATTCAATATGTAGGCTGAGGACATACATTAGGAGGATTCGAACGACATATCTTTGGAGTAGCGGCTTTCGATAATTTTTACTAGAGGAACACGGTCAATTTCGTAGGTAGGGGTCGGGATATGACTATGAATTTTGCTCACAGTTGGAGCCAGATAGATCTAAAGAAGAGCGCAGTTAGTGGAGGTTTTATGCTCTTAGAGCAGACAGACATACACAACGGAGAGTAGAGATGCAACCAATGAGGCAACTCCAGCAACTATCACGGTAGCCTTTGCTAGGCTGGAGCCGGTACCTCCAGATTGCGCCTGGAACTCCATTGGTGATATCGTTTACGAAGAAAGAAGAGAGGCGGGTTGAGAGATGGTGGTTCGCAGCCAGTCCATGCCGGGGAGTAGGCGACCGCGTAGATAAGCACGTGTTGCTAGCAGAATCTCCCTTCCATTGCTATAGCAATCTTATTGAAGCTATTAGAAGACAGATCTCGGTTCAATAGCTGTTGAATCGCCGCAAATCGGGGCATGTGTTGTTCGAGAGCTCTCCTCGCGGATCGAAACGATGCTGCCTCACGCGCCGTTGCTGCGTCATTCAGCGCCAAGACCACACTCGCCAGCTCCCTCGAGTTCAACCGGCATTGTTTCAACACCACCGAGCGCTGGCTCGAGACTCCCGCTCACAACACCGCGGGATAGGAAGCCATTGGAAATGACAGCGGGCCTGCACCTCTTTGATTTTGGCCTTTGGTGATGCTGCTGAAAGTACGAAATGCGCTGGCCTAATGTCATCCGCGTCCCGCCTGCCAAACATCGCGGAGGGCAAACTAACAGCCCAGCCCTTAGATGCCGTTCCTCAGTTTAACTGGTATTTATGGTTTTGGCCTTACTTGGTATCTGGGAGACTGACGGTATGCCCCTAGGGTTTTCTTGATCGAGCTTATTGTGTGCGGAATTCTGTGAGTTCTTTGATTTCCACTCTCAATTTGCTCTAGATCTGACTTGACATTCGAAGGACACTGTTTTTCCTCTTTTATTTCAACAGGCTATTCGCGACACTCATATCTTACGGCATCAGAGCCTATACATGGCATTACTACCGTATTTATATCGATATCCATGCCCTCCAAATATCGCTCTTAGGCGGAAGGATTTTTTTCAAGGGTGTTCGATACCATGGGGAAAATGAGACAATATTGATTCACTCGGGGTACATTACGTGGAGATACTGGCTGCGTCTTGTTCGGGATAGCGAATTGGTGCAGGGACAAACACCGTTGCCTCATGCTGCTTCTCCCCCAAAGTCGGACACAACTCAAGAAGATCAGGTCAAGAGTCCTGAAGGCAAGGAAAGTGCGAATGGGAACACCAAGGAACAAAACCAGCTTCCTTGTCGAATAGAGATCACGCTTCACGGTGTAGAATGGTTTGTTTATAACAGAAGTGCAGCATATGACACAATTCTTGCTGGCTTCCAGCCTTCGGGGCGAACAAACCCGAGCAAAGTTAAGCAGGAAGCCGGTGCCGATAAAGATGCAACTCGCACAGCTGCAAAGGAAGCCAAAGGATCCGGGATTGAAGTGTCGAGCAAACCGGGTGTTAATTCCAGTCAAAATGAATCGTTGGCAAAACACGATACCTTGGCATCAGAGCCCGACTCTGTAGACGATGCTTCCGCCAGTTCAAAATTGCCCACTTATCTCTCCTTGCTCCCTATATGGATCAATTGTTACAAAGGTGCTTTGGTCGTGGGTAATGAGCACGTCAAAACTCTTCTGACAACAACTTTTGAAAAAGGACACGGAAGAATAGACGCTGGTGATTCGGGCGCGCTTGACGTCTATAAACAAATCTTTGAGTTTGAATTGGTTCATCCTACTGTGCAGTTTAAGCCAAATCCAGATTTCAAATCTTCCCAATTAGCGGCCGCGAAAACCCATTCCAATGCGGATATCGACAATGTGACCCAAAGCCGAAGACGCCATTTCCGTTGGGCATTTCAGCTTCGTAAACGAAAGCTATGGTATAGCCTTCGTGATCTCGTCCCTTATTTTCAGAAATCAGTTGAATCATTTCAAGTTCACCATAAAGGTGCAACTGCGTCAAGGTCTATGAATCTGCCTGAAACATTGCCCGCGGAATCTCATTGGACGGGTCTCACGAGATATCTTGATGAAGAGAGCCGAAATGAGCATGAAGGATGGAACGCCGTTGAATATGGGCGCTTTTCAACGCTACTAGATTGCCCTAGTCTCATGCTCAGATACCACTGGGACATTCCTGGTAAAGTATCTGCTCGACGGATTGACCCGGCGTCATCCGTTCGCAGAATGACGAATAATATCAACGGCGCAGAACCGCCAGAATGGGGAATGCACTTGGCTGTGAGGGGAGGGATGATAAATTATGGCCCCTGGGCAGACAGAGAACGTGCCAATCTCCAGGCCATTATTTTTCCAAATTCTTATCGTGATTCACAGCCTAGCGCCCCTTTAGAAATCGGGGAATGGAGGCAGAGCACCTTGTTTGATTTCACAATCACTTTTGAAGAGGAAACAAATTTGCGCATCCCTACTAGAGAGCCTTCCAAAGATTGGATATGGAAAAACAGAACCGATGCTACAAAACCGAAAAACAGGAAGCAAAACGAACATCCTCGGGGAAAGGAAGCGGATAAGGGAAATCACGGTCCCGATATTCGGCCCTTTGGCTGGCTCGCTCTGGGAATAGAAGCAGGTTCGAAATTCGAGTACCGAATGGGCATGTTTGCAACGCCAACAGGATATGGGAATCAGCTTGTGCTCGACCTACAAGGTAGTAGAGTCACATCGAGTGTTAACCATGCAGTTCTATGGCATTCCGGGCCGCAGAGGATTTCTTGTGATTTATCTAATCCCTTGGAATGGAATACCTTGCACACTTGGTCATTCACCATCCACAGCAACAATTTGGAGCTGTTTTTCCTACGGGACCACATCTTCCTACTTACCGATCTTGTCAACGACTGGACTTCGGGCCCTTTCTCGGAATTTTACACATTCGTTCCATTCCAATATAACGCCCATCTCTCGTTCACCAACGTCAAGCTTTTTCTCAATGTCAACGATTCGAACATCATCAATAACCCTACCGATATCGAAGACAACTCATTTCTTATTATAGAATCGGAAACTCTAACCTCAAATGTATGCATCCCGACGACGAACTACAAGCCGAAACGGAATGCCATCCCATTTGACCTCAGGCTGGCGGGCACCACAATGAAATTTTCTGTTCCTTCTTGGAATACCCACCGTACATTCCTCGAACAGTCTTCTCTTGCATCTCTAGACAACTTCGAGATGAGCGGTAACTATTCATACAACACGCTCACGTCGCCGACTTTAACGGATATTCTTACACTTGATTTATTGGGAAACTCCTTAGAAATATATATTTACGGATTTCTCGTGGATACGTTTTTAAAAGTTAAAGAAAACTATTTCGGCGAGAATATACATTTCAAAACCCTGGAGGAGTTCCAAGAGATTGCTAGTTCAGACAAAACATCGGTGTCAAATTCGGTGACGAATAAGTCCAATGACCTTGATGTCATTTTGCATATTCATGCTGAGGACTGCACGGTTTTACTCCCTAGCAATATTTATGATCGACTTCATTGCGTGGCTATTGAAGCGGCTTCTCTTGATGCTGATGCTAGATTTACGAACTATTACATGGATCTGCAGACGTCTTTCAGCCCTCTAGCAGCATCCCTACGAGCATTCGACAAGTCCACATCCAGACCCGAGCTCTTTATAGACGGCCTCAGTGTCTATGGACACCGGTTATTTGGCCTGCCGCCCACTGAACCAACCTACGTTTGCAATTGGGATTTTGACGTAGGTCGTGTTATAGGAGAATGCTCTACCGACTTCATAAAATATTTCAAATCAGCACTGAGGTCTTTTGCCTATTCGATTGATGACGAAGAAAATTCCCTACCCCCGCTTAAACCAATCGAACTGCATGATGTCGTGCTGCTGCGAGCAAAAGTCGACTCCATCCAACTTTGGGTAATCTTGGACACAACAGCATTATTATTTAGCTCTGATGCTATGGACTTCAACTTCAACGATTGGGCTGGAGTGAAGTTCTCTGAGCGCCTTGATCTGAGTCTTCCAGACATAACTCTCGCTATTGTCGATGGTAGCTCACCTAGGTGGCTTGACAGTGCTCATCCCGTTAGGACCTATGCTTGTTTCCATACTTCCGTCAAGTTAAAAATGGTCGAGCGTAAAGCGAACTTTTTGGCAAACCGGGAGCTTCAACAACAACATGTACAAAAACATGATTCTCGCACCCAAAGAACGCCATGGCTTCTACTGAAAGACGAAAAGGGCTGGACTGAGAAATATGTCAACAGAGATCAACCAAACAGGGCAGCAATGCCAGTTCCATTTATGCCGCCACCTCTTCAGGGACCCCGTGATTTGACTTCTGATATTATGACTTTGACATCGGACTTTTGTGGTCAACTTCCTAGCGCCACTAAGAGAGAAAACTTAACATGCTCTACACATGGAAGTCTTGGGCAAAACCGACCTGATATTTATCCCTCTGCCGCGGATCAACTTCCAAGGACCGCGTCGCGAAATACGGTTATGTTACCGGACAAAGACTCTGATACTAACCGTTCAAGGCGGCCTACAAGCCAATTCAGCTTGGAGGGTGCATCTCGCCCTTTTCCTACGAAAGACTACGCCCCTAAAACGGCCACTTCCAGGAAAGGACTTTCTAGCGCTTGGATGGTGCCCAACTTCCGTTTCCATAGACTGGTTTTGGATCGCAGCGATCTCCCTGCGTTACCGTTCCTTGGTAACTATCATGAGCAAGGAACCCAGGGAAAAGATGAGCTTGAGCTTATACTTGATGATCAAGATGCTAATGCTACTCATACCTACTGGCTTCTTGACCTAATATCCGGGATAAGCGGGTTTTGTCATGTCGAAACTGTTTCTGCCATTGCAGGGTTGCTTGAGAGTCTTCAGCCTGTTCATCCTATTGAAGTGATTGATGATATCCAGTCAACGGTAGTTTCAGATATTCTGGGTCATGCGAAACATCTGGCGAATCCCAAACGGGTTATGAACTTGAATCTTCGGTTACCGGCATGCCGTGTGAGATTTATCAACTCCACAGCTATTGAAGAATCGGAAATTTCGGCAGTTAGGGACCAATTTGATCTAGAGGTAGTACGAGCCCGCATTATGCTCAGCAAGAAGTCAGAAATCAGAAATGATGCAGTGAAGCCGAAGCAAACGGGATTGACGACACATCTTACAGCTACCGTTATATCTTTATCCGCCCTAACAGAGGGACTCGAAAACCCTGGAGCGCATAAACTTTGCCATCTCAGGACACAAGATCTCGTACTGTGGTCAGTTACTGAGAAAGCAGCCCGTTCACGCGTCCAGACCCAAGAAGTTAGTCTAGTACTTCCTAGCGAATCTGTTCATCACCTAGCAACCTTTGTTCAACGAACGAATACCCTGGTGGATTCAGCTGTTTCATCCGTTAAGCGTATCTCGATATGTGAAAAAAAAAGGCTGCAGTCTATTGTTTACCAACTTACCAGATTTGGTTCACAGACCCCAGACCCTCAATTTCTAACTAGGCCGTCGTATGTTTTACGAGCAGCCGAGGAACATTTGCGGATGAATGATTCGTGGAAAATTATTTCCAGACTGCGGAATATTTATAAGTTCTTACCTAGAGATGAAGCAGCACGCCTCACGTCAGATTGCATTAAGAATATTTCTTCATGCCCGCCAGATTGCAGATCAATCGTTCTATCCAGCTTTGACAAGTGGCGGACCTGGGACCTTGCTCATGTTAAGAAAAGCTACGCAATGAAAGTGATCTGGGGAGCAACCGAGCCGGGTCGCCCAAATGAATCAGATAATGTCCATAAGGATATATCCCTCCTTGTGCGGTCACTGCGGACGTCTTTGGATCCGCTGAACGATGAGGACCCCTTGTTGGTTGAAAACCTATCCACATCGATTCAAGTCCGACCTTGCGCCCGAAGAAGCGCTCTAAAACGGATAGTGACTATCCAAAATCATTGTTCGGATATTTCGGTAAAATTGAGATGGGAGCTTGTCAGACTTGTCGAGGAAAATTTGACCCGTATTTCTGAACAATTTTCGAAAGCTGAAGGCGGCATCTCTGCGTCGAATAAGACAGACGACATAAATGGGGCACAGGAAGTTCATATTCTTGTGGCAGCCGACAACGCGTCCGTTGT